CGTTCAAGGTCTATATAGACTAACTATACTAAGCGTTAAAATAAGGCTTATCCTACGCGTTCCGGATAGTACTACTCGCTATATATATTCTATAGAGTACTCGCTATAGGCATTTTATAGGGTACTCGTAGTAGGCGTTATATAGGGTACTCGCTATAAACGTTTTTAGTAGTATTTACTATAACCGTTTCGGATATAACTTGCTATAAGTATTCTAAATAGTACTTACTGTAGGTATTTTAGATAGTACTACTTACTATAAGCGTTCTTAATAGTACTTACTATTAGCGTTCCGAATTAGACTTTCTATACGCGTTCCGGATAGTACTTACTATACGCGTTCCGGATAGTACTTACTATACGCGTTCCGGATAGGACTTAGTATATACGTTTCGGATTAGAATTACTATATAGCGTGTTCTAAATAAAACTTAGTATAAGCGTTATAGATAGTAGTACTAACTATTAGCGCTCCCGATTAGAGTTACTATACGCGTTCTAAATAGTACTTAGTATTATAAGTATTCTAAATTAGAATTCCTATAAGTATTTTAGATTAAAATTACTTTAGGCGTTTTAGATTAGACTTACTATACGCCTTATAGATAGTACTTACTATAAGCGTTCCTACTTAGAAAGAACTATATACTATAGATATTTCGAATAGTACTCGCTATAGGTATTCCGGATAGTAATTACTATAGGCGTATTCCGGAAGTAGTTACTTTAGATATTTTAGACTATCTTACTATAAGCGTTTCTAATAGTAATCTAGCTTACCCTACCCCGCTCGTCGCCTTAGCCTTTACTTATAGCTCTTCGGCCTTTACTTGTAGCTCTTCGAGCTACATAAACACTAGTAATCACATGAAATCTCATTCAAAGGAATTCCAACTCTCTGCACTTCCCAAAGCACAAAAATCCACAGCCTTATGTCCTCCTACTCCTCTTCGTCGGAGATGTAGCATTTTCCTTTCCGTCAGCCGCACGTTCAGCCATATTGTTTCGTTTCTCAGCTCGTATGTTGGCCAGCGCGATAGGGAGGATTACTGTTGCACTGCGCGGGAGTTGTAAGCAAACTTGGGATCATTCTTGCCTGGCTGTGATTAGCGATAGTGCTGGAACCCATCTCAGAAAGTGTTGACCAGAACCTGCCACGGACACCTCTCAATATATGCATCGCAATGCAAAACATCATTGAGGCCGAGGTTTGTTTTGTCATGCTGTCAACAGATGTTAGTTTTGCTATCTTCCTCACGTTCCCGCCGGTCTTGCTTTCCGCGACTTCAGGACACTCACGTAACACCTCAATACCGTGTGATAAGGACAGTGCCATAGGTTTGCTGTTTTTCATTCTTCCACTATCCATTCTGCCTGCCTGCAAACGTGCCCGCTTTGATTCGGCACGCGTGGTGTGCTCTTCCCCCATAAAACGTGCGTCGGACGTGACGGCCCTAGCAAATACAACTAACGATATGCTACGCTCAGTGAATGGCTATCACTTGCTCTTTCTTTTCATACTCCTTACAACTCCTCTTCATGCATGCCCCTTCTTCGTCTAGGGTGAAAGTTGTCAACGCGAATTGATTGTACAATGCATCGCTTACGCGATCGGACTCCAGGGCATTGGTACCATAATGCGGCTCTTCATGGTTTGAATGAGTGGTACAGTCTTGTGGACTGTCTCGCCCCATCCTGGCACGCTCCAGCTCTGCTCTCGGCGGGCGCGGCGCTCCTCGAGGTCGGCGAACTGCCACAGGTGATGGACTTCGTTGAGGGCTCCTATCTGAACGAACCATGCTGCAGAATGGTCAGTACACGCTGGTCGGCTTTCAAGCCCGGATCACATACCTCCCACGCCCTCCATGACTTCTCTCCTCGCGGCCAAACCCTTCTGCCAGTGAGTCTCCCACTCAAGGAGGTTGCCTGGGTGAAGGGTGTAAGTTCGAAGCTCAAAGACTCCACCCAGTTGTCGTGGTGGCGAGGTTGGCCAAAAGCGGAACTCTTGCATGAGTGATGTCTTCTTGGACGTGATCAAGGACTTGAGCTTGGCGTCGAAGGCGGCAAACTGGGGCTGACTTTGAATACGATGTAGAGAGGCGTGGTAGCCGGAGTAGCGTTGGTATTCCCAAATGTGCACTGTTTGGAAGTCAGCTCAGACAAGTCCTCGATATCTGCATGCTCACGCACCGAAGGTGTCGCAGTCGCCGACTTCCGTCCGCCAGCTGCCAACGAGGTTTACGTGGTTCTCTGGGTCTTTGGCGACCTTCGGATACCATCCGCCAACAAGCTTCACATACTCCTCAACCTTGTCGGGCTTGACCTCGTGGAAGACAATGCTGTGGACGTATTTGCCTCTGGCCAAGACCTGCGAGAAGGAGCGCTCAATTTCGCGATCCATCTCGCGGCCTTCTTCGGTGCCATAGATGAGACTGCTTAGTCGGCCAGTGCCAATCTTCTTCTTATTCTCGGATTCTTCTTTGCGCTTTGCCGCTTCCCCTGTAGCAGTACTAAGTGAGCCTAGGCCTCCCTCGCTGCCATTGTCAATTGAAGAAGAAGTAGAAGAGGACTTAGCGGCAAGACGGGCGGCTTCTGACTGACGTTCTGCTTCCTTTTTCTTGCGGTAGTTCTCTGCGAGGTTCTCTCGAAACTCCTTCTGCTTGGCGTCGAATACATGGCCCTGCTCTGGCTCAATGTCTGATAGCGCTGGAGCTTTGTGGTCGGACGATCGTGCTGCCACGCGTGAGAAGGGCCGCGTAATTGTGGGCGCCGATATCGATGTCTTGGATGCTCTCGAGGCTCTCAGCAGCAGACGTGGGCTTGCCATGATGCTTGCTGATGGCCGGAGCTCTGGATGTGGTGGATGTGGTACTCGCGTGGGTGCTGTATAGCAATAGGAGGTGTGTTTGCTGTGCGGCGAATGATGTCGACGCTTAGCTCATGTACACAATTGGCTGACGTTCGATTCGCAGGTCAAAGATGTAGGTCCAGGTATGCCGGAAGGAAGCTCTCGTTGTACCTCAGTCTCTGCCAGCCTGTCTTGCCTTGCCTTGCCTTGTCCAGTGCACGTCGAATCCCCAGAGCTCCTCCGCGCAGCTGCTAGGTAGATGCGGGGAAGTGCCGCTTGGCGCAGGAAACGATCTGTGCTTCGGTTATGCCCTGCCAATGAGAGGCCAGGATCCTCAAAAATTGATCGGTGCTTGCAATCGGCTCTGCTCTGCACACTACTGCACCTTTCACATGCAAACATAAGCCACATATATTCAAGCACGCGTGGGTGCACTGCTCACAACGGCGGCTTGAACCATCGGTATTCAGCTGGAGCAGACCACCACAGCACCATTACCTCGATATAGACGAGACACAATCATCAGCCACGAATACTCAATCCTTCGCGAGACGGTATTGATGTTTATGCTCGCGTGAACAAGCAAGAAGAAGAAAAGAGCAGGAAGCAAAGAGCAAGGAATAGTGAGCAAGAAAAGAAGGGCATGACTGACTGGCCAACAAGACGGAGCCATGTCAACTTGCCACCGATGAGGAAATGCATAAGTTGTGAAGAACGCCCAACAGGAGTCGGCTGCAAAAGATGCGCATTGTACCCGTCCAACAGCGAGATATCCATTTGGCGCATCATGCTAAATACTGGCTTGGGACTGCTACCAGCCATGCCAGTCTGAGAATCTGAGCGTTTGTAGTGACGCTCTGCACTGAGACCAATCCCGCGCTCGCAATGAGCAGGAAACTGCTTCGCCGAGACGGATGGCAGCAGAGACCTGTATTCAATGGCAAGGTGGCCACCTCACTGCAAACGGAAGCAGACTGTTTCCTCTCATCTACCTGTGTATCTGAAATTTCTCTCACCACCCTTCGTCAGAAACATTTTTCACCAAGCAGATCATTGACAGATTTAACTGATTCACAATCTCAGCCGTTGACCAGGCAGAGCGAATTCACAATGAGCGAAGCATCGCTAGCACAGAAACCTGCTTCTGAGTCCATCTTGAGCCATCGTCCGGCGAAGACAGGGCTGGAGAAAGATGACGGCGAGGGCCTCATCAGCGAAAAGGAAGAGGAGCAAGAATACAAGAGCCTGCTCGACGAGCTCAAAGCTTCAGTCGCTGCACATTCTCGCTCCGGCACTTTCGCATGCGGAGGTTCTGTCGCCATCATGAATCCGACCCACGTCTCAGTCTCGTCCGGTCACGTTACAGACCCCCTCCAGATCCGCTTTGGAGCTCAGAACGATGGCAAGATTCTCGTTCTTCCTGTCGATGCCTCACAGCGTTCGCAAGGCTTTTCGGACTTTCCATCTGCCTGCGCGCCGGCATCCTTCGCTCGGTCTGGAGGAGAAGTCATTGACGAGAGCTACCGCAAGGCCGGCAAATTGGATGTTGGTGAATTTTTGACTTCTTTCTGCCCTTATCAGGTAAGCGAGTCGGCATGCTCATTGAATTACACCTCCACTGACTTAATCAGGCGGGCATTGTTGCCACGATTGAACAGCTTTTCGCCCCACAAACGAAGCAGACGACGCACGCACGAAGCATCAAGGCCGAGCTCTACAAGCTGAATGTCTACAGTGCACCCAGCGGCAAGTTCAAAGCTCATGTGGACACTCCACGTAGCGAAACCCAGCTTGGTAGCCTCGTAGTATCCCTTCCCGTCGACCACGAGGGAGGGCAGCTCGTTGTGCGTCACGTAGGCAAAGAAGTCGTCTTTGACTGGTCGACATCCGCTACAAAAGGCAGAGTCAAGCCGGCCGTAGACTGGGCTGCGTTCTACAGCGACTGTGAGCACGAGGTGCTCGAAGTCTCCCAAGGTCACCGCGTGACTCTCACGTACAATCTTTACGTCACACGTAAGCCATTGATCCACCAACCTCTAGCGCGGCACTTTCTGATATGAGCACAGGTGGAGCTGGGAATCTAGCAGGTGTTTCTGAAGTTCTCGACGCTACCAAGCTGCCACTCTACAAGACTCTACAAAATGCTCTTAGCAACCCAAAGTTCCTCAATAGAGGTCTGTGAACTGCTTATCATGGTGCCACGCCCTCGCTGACAAATTATGCAGGTCGTGTTCTCGCCATTTGGCTGTCACACAGCTATGCTCATACAAACACGCAAGTCAACTTCTTGCCACAGTCCCTCAATGGCGCAGACATGTCTCTCTACGAGACTGCCCTGGCACTCAATCTCCACTGCCAAGTCGTCCCGGTCATTCCCAAGGGTGGCTACGGTGCGGTAAACGACAGTGATTCAGATTACGACGATGACTACGACACAGTTGATCTATACAGCAAGCGCTTTCGCGGATTCAATCGAGGCCAGGGGGGGGGATTGTTTTGCGTGAAGTGACTACTTCTAAGACACGTTCAGCTGCATTGAGTGTGCGAAAAAGGAGGCAAGACGGCTGGACTTCGAGATGGCTAAGAAGCAGAATCGATGCCGTATACCATGGCATGTGACTTGTCGTGTTCTGCTCTCGGAGTGGGTAGTAGTATACAAGCAGCAACGAGATATGATTTGCATGAAACAGGTGAAGTGAAGCGTGCTGAGAGATGAGGCATTTACGGCATCCGTTCTCGGTGGCGATGATGCCAACCCTCTCGTCGATTGCGCCATTTGTAAGATGAATGACTGTTATACAGCCTCTGCGCCTGTACTTCTGCGAAAATCTCCGTTTCCTTACACAGACAACGAAATCGTTCTCTTCTTCCACTATGCACTGCCATTTGTTGTCGTTGTCGTCGAGACGGAAATCTTCTTGGCGTTTTCGAAAGCCGCCGATCTCGCTTGCGGACTTCGACTGAACAAAGTCTCGAACTTCGCCACCGCAAAAAGCAGCAAAAGGCCATCTCTTGGACGTCTTTGGCATCAGGAGTTCAACATCGGCAATCTAAACCCCGACCACGTTGATCTCGGCCATTGATCATCGCGATCCACCAAGCAACGCGTCTTCTTCCTTGGTGGTCCTCTTCCACTGCGGGCCGTCGGCAGAATTGCAAGAGAGCTTCAACATCATCCCTGCCGCAAGCGAGGAGCCGAAGCATTCACCTACTATTATCTGCAACCGCAAGAGAACTTTGAGGCACGCCCTAGTCTGATTGGGAGCACGTACGCGAATACTTCCTGCATCTGACCTCTTGACTGGCCCCAACAGCTTTGCTATCAGCTTCAATTGACCAGGAGACGCAGTGCTTGGACATTGTCATTTGGCGCTGTACGAGAATTGTCTGGCCTGATACATGGCCTCCAAGACTGTCGCCAGCAACGCTCTTGCCGGACCACTAAGGTTGATCAATCATGGAGGGAGGAACGTTTCCCGGCGTGCCGATCTGGGATGGACGTGCGCAAGGCCATGCGTGGTTCTGGCCGCGGGCGGGAGAGCTCTATCTGCAACTGCTCCTGCTGCGGTGAGATCGGTTCCTCGCTACTGTACTAGACCGCTATCTACCTCGACCTCTAGAGGAGTCGCTGCTGCTAGCTCTCTACATTATTTTCCGGCCACGAGAACTATGGCAACGCACAGCAGACCTGAACAAGTGAGGAGAGATTCGAAGTTGTCTGGGCCTTACGATACGTACGAGGCTGTCGTGGTCGGTGCAGGACCGGCGGGCATCACAGCTGTGGGCAACTTGCTGGAAAATCGAATCGACAAGATTTTGTGGGTGGACGACCACTTCAACGGTGGTAGAGTCAATGCCTATTACCGGGAAGTCCCTTCAAACACAAAGGTCAAGCTATTCATTGACTTTGCTACTGCCGTTGCGCCGTTCAGGAAAATTGTATCTGGACTCCCTTCACGAGATCGATGGGAGGAGCCGAGCCCTTCAGACGGTGCTGCTGTGGACGCACACAACGATAAGCTCCAAGATCTGCGGCAGCTGGACCAGGAGAAAGGCTGTCATCTCAGACATGCCGCAGACATGTGCTTAATGCTCACGCATGGCTTGGAGAGAACGCCTGGTGTGATCACTCAGAAGGGACGCGTAGAGGAAGCAAGCTTCGACGACCAATCGAATCACTGGACTGTTAATATTGACAGCGCGAATCCTACACCGCAAGACATCAGCAGCGTTCGAGCTAAGCGTTTGATACTCTGTACTGGATCTGCGCCAATGGACCCAAAACTACCATACGAGCCAGAGCATCTCCAGCATATTGACCTGGACGTTGCATTATCGCCAACGAGATTATCTGCCCTCTCATCATCGCAAGGCGAGACTACCGTCGCAGTTATCGGTGCCTCTCATTCTGCAGTCCTGGTCCTCATGAATCTCTCCAGCCTTGCGCTATCTACACGACCTGATCTAAAAGTCAAGTGGTTCACCCGACACCCTTTACGGTACGCAGAATACGAAGACGGCTTCATCGCACGCGACAACACCGGTCTGAAAGGTGAAGCGGCAGTATGGGCTCGCGAAAACCTCGAACCAGAGAACCTTCCCAACAGTCCTGTCGGAAAAGTCATCACGCCCATCAACTATGAAAAAGGCGACGAAGAAAAAATCTATCGACAGCATCTCGACGACTGCCAATACGTGATTCAAGCAATCGGATACGCTCGCAACCCACTCCCAATATTGATCGAGGCCGATACTGGAAAGAAGATTGAGCCAATTTTTGACCCTGACAGAGGCACCTTCACCTATGTCACGGAGAGCGACGATGGCACTATTGGTGATCTGAGGCCTTTGCCTGGACTCTATGGTGCTGGGATTGCATTTCCCCAGAAAGTCGTCGATAAGAAGTATGGGCATACGGAGTTCAATGTTGGGTTCTTTAAGTTCATGAAGGCTGTGAAGCAATGGGTGCCGCAATGGAAGGGGATTAAAGCATAGAGATAGAGGAATGTGTAGAGGCATTGCAGCTAGCTTAATACTCACGGATGGAATTCCAGTATTGTCACACGCGTGATGTCGAGAAGGATCGAGCGCCAAGGCGGACTCGGACTTGGCTCCGTTACGGACGCTTCTCTTCATCTTGCCCTTGCCCTGCGTCACTCCTCCAGACACATCATTGCGTCGTGCTCCCATCCCTAGTACCTTAGTCTTCTGTAATATTCATAATTCCAAGCGCTTCATTTCTTGCACATAATTTGCGACGCATCAACACTACGTGGACTGCCGCGTAAGCCTCATCAGTCGTAGAAAGTCCCAACGGGCTCACGGGCTGCTACATCTTGCACACCATCATCGAAGCCACTTCCAAGTCCTCCCTCTCAGTCGCCTGCTATCTAATAGCAATCGCTACAACCATGGGCTTCACAGAAATCTTTAAGGTGCGTCACACCCAGCTGCAAGCTCCCCCCTCCAGCACAACTTCTAACTCACCCACCCCATCTATCTAGGCCCTCTTCCTCCCCGCCCTCATCGCAGCAGCGCTCTACATGCTCCTCGCCTTCCTCATCGTCCCCCTGATAAAAAGACATCGAGAACGTTACTCGCAATACCTTCCTCTCGACTCGATTCAGCGACAAACGAATGGGGTGAGAGATCGGTTCGGAAATTTTGTTATGAGGATGGTTATGCCTAGACGACAAGCTGTTGTGGATGCGGATGTGGAGGGGCAGAGGAGTGGGAGTGGGGAGGACTTTGCGGCGGAGGATGGGGAGAGGATGGTTGGGTTTGATGTTGAGGGAAGTGGGAGGAGGTAAGATGAGGGATGATGAGGTGGTGGAGTGCTATGGCTAGGGACTTGATATGATGCTGGGGACATCGAAGAGGACCTATTGGCCATGGTTTTTTGGAAATGGGAAGTTTCTGCTGCGGCTTCACGAGCACGAGGTGAAGGGATGAGTTCCTGCTGCTGCTGCTCTACGTAGTCTCCGAGAGCAATGCGAATGCCAGACGCGAAATTACGAAGAGGCCAGCACGAGCGGAGAGCTTTACAACGAGCATCTATATTCCAAGGCGCGTAGGATAGGACACCAGTCGGACGCGTGAAGTACGCGATCTGGGAGCGTAGGATGGAAGGCACAGCCGCGCACCTGCCTCGGACGGCTACATCACTTCAGCAATCTCATTTCGGTCTGCCCTTCTTTCTTACCTACACCTCGCACCACAACTCACACTCCCACCTTACCGGCCCACCATGTTCGACTCCACCGGCATCGTCGAGATCTTCGTCTCACGAATCGACACTCAGGAAAGAAACCCGCGATATCTCCCACCCTCCCCAGTCCTCGACGAAAACGCCAGCACGTCCCTGCCTCCAATCCCAACCCAAGACATCTTCGCCCTCAACATCTTCCTCACCGAGAAATTCGACTGCATGGCCAACGACACCGTCAAAGTCACCTTCTCCCTCAGCAGTGGCACGGCGAGTACAGTGAAGTATTTCCAAGATTTGGAGTGTCCATGTAAAAAACTCCCAACCGCTTCGCCGAAACATGGGTGTTTTGAGGAACTGGAGCGAGTTGCGTTTCAAGATGCTGTGCTCGGTCCGGTTAATTGTGATGGTTGGCCGCTTGAGGGGGGAGAGGTGGATGAAGGTTGTATTGTTCTTACGTTTCAGCGAGGAACGCTCAAGCCGTGCGGTCCATTGCCGACGAGCAAGTACCGCTTTGTGCCTTCTGCGGGCGCGGATATTACTGTTACTTTTGAGTATCGGTCTCGATGTAAGTGGGAGTTGTGAAGGGAAGTCTGACGCCTTTACTGATTTGGAGTAGATAGGGGTTTGGTGGAGTTGCTGTCGACTACGACTTTTTCGAGTTGTGATGCTCCTAGCTTGCAATTGACGCGTCGACCGAATGGACTCTCTGTGCCTGGGAAGCGTGTGTTTGAGGTGAGATGGGCCTTGCTCAGGTGTGTAGATGTATGCTAATGCATGTTGCAGGTGCACCAAGAAGAAAACGATCCTGAGGACGGAAAAAGCAAGAAACTAAAGCTTGCGAGCGATGAAGCTGGTGTTGAGCACACAGCACGCAACTCTGATCATCCATTTTCGTCCTTCTGGTCTGAAGAGTCGACGTAATGTGGAGGAGAATTAGAGATGTCAAAGGAAAGATGTGTTTTGCTATGTCGAGGGTGCCCAGAGACTGAATTCCTGCTGAAGGACAAAGATATGCTTCGCCTGCATCCGATTGCTGTTACAGACGTTATGGCCGGTTTTGACATCTATATAGATATCCTTTCATCCATACATATCACAACTTTAACCTCTCCCTAACCCCATCCCAACTCTCCGCCAAAACCGCATCAAAACTCCCTTCCTCAATGCTCTCCTCAACAATATAAGTCCCCGTACTCCTCTTCACCCACTTCGGCGCCCCAACCCACTCCCTCCCAACCTTAACCCCCTCAACCTCCCTCCCCCCTTCCATTAATTCCCACCCCTTCAAAGAAACAGCCTTATACCTCCCCTCCCTCCCACTCTCCGCCAACCCCGCCCCGCCATTCCTCATCCGATACCTAACAGAAGGATGAAAAAAACTCACACGTATCCTTCAAAAACTCTTCCAAAGGTTCCCCAGTCCTTGTGTCTGTGAGATGGTATTCGCCAGGAGTACGGATTTTTCGTCCTAGAATCGTGTTCAAGGAGTCCGGAATCTGAGTGGGGGATGAGACCTTTGGCGTCACCTACGCCCGTCGAAGGGGTGTGTTTCGAAACGTAGAAATGTTTGGTTTAGGGCAGGTTTGCCGTGGGAGGTAGGATCGAAAGTGAGGAAGGGATTGAAGTTGTGTCATCATCCATGCTAATAATGTGATGTTGGAGATGGAAGTATCTTGATATCCGCCTCCGATGGAAGTGTGGACGCCTGGGAACCAGCATTGGCGGAGTTTTTTGAGGATCTTAGGGGCGTCGTCGCTGCGAGGGGATTCCCAGATCGTGGGGGCGAAAGCGGAACGTTGTTCGTCGAGGGCGAGGGCTTGGAAGGCGTTTTCGACGTTGGGGGCCACTTGGGTTGCCAGGAGACGAAGGATGAGGTGGGGAAAGAATCCGGGTGCATGGTGGACTTCATATCTACTGCTGAGTCTTGCCTCCAAAGCTCGTACGAGCATGTGTCGGGCCATTGACAGGTCTGGGCACGCGCATTGGAAAGGCGCCACGCATGCCGGTGAGGGCGAGTGGCTTTTCAGCAGCTCAGCTGATGTCCTAATGCGGAGCTGAAGTAAGAGCGAGGATTCGATCAGATCACTGGTTTGGACGAGCAAGAGCAAGAAAGCACGAGCTGCTCTTGAGATGTTACTGGAAAAGAAAGAGATCAAGCTCGAAGGCTGACCAGCACCGATTGCCTCGTGCCAAGACGGCTCGGACTTTTGATAAGGAGACAGAATACCATTCTCATTGCCATAAAGCCGACACAGCAGCCATTTCCTCCAGCATTTTTGCTGCAATACAAAGTGCACAGCCGCCGCAACCGAGCTATGTATACCATGTTGGCTCCGGGATCTCGCCCAAAAGCTGGAAGCGTCCAACCTCACGCTTCTTGTATGCAACTGGGTCATGCAACGAATGGGTTCTGATATCTCTCCAGTATCTATCGAATCCATATTTCTTTCCAGTCGCTCTTGCTCCCAACATCTCAAAGATTCCGGATGTCACTGCAAGACCAGTGTCCGTTGTCACAACCTTGACGTGGGCGACATTTGCTGCAAGCTCGCCACGTCGTTGAGCGGTAATACTAGCCCTGCCTCGGCTCTTGGATGTACCGTCTGTGTGGCCGTTTGTCTCAGGAATCTGGAAATTGCCTGTGGTCGAGATCGAGTACGGGGGGTTTGGTCCTGTGCTGGTGTTGCTGGAATGGCCATTGGCAAGGTAATTCGGATTGATAAGTTGCTTGGAGCTTGTGATCTCCAGATCCACAACAGAACCATACTGACCTGCCTCTCTGTAAATATTGGCAACCTCAGCGCCGACACGATCAGCAAGTGCATCAGCGGCTGCAAGATGCGCCCGAAACTCGCCATATCGCTCGAGGATGTACCACTCATCAACAGCTTTGTCCTTGTTGTCACCACCAAATGGCCAAGCTCTGGTTCCTTTCAGGGTATACTGGGTTGCAGCAGCAAGCGCACCTTGAGCAATGCCAAGGTAGAAGTTGCTGAAGACAAGCTGAATAGTGGGCAGCAACAAGGTTCCAAAAGGCAGTCCGAGGATTTCAGGGATTGGCTTCTTCTTGACCGGATCCCAGCCAAGTGCGTCGGTCCACGGCACGCGGACGTTGTCAATCTTCACGCTTCCAGACTCTGTAAGTCGCAGGCCAACGTTGTCCCAGTTGTGGGCAAACTGAATCCCTGGCTGTTCGGTCTTGACCAGTGTGAAGATGTGATCTTCTGTGCCGTCAAGGACACCTTCAAGGACAGTCAAGTCGCTCACAACGCCGCCAGTATTGAAGTTCTTCAGTCCATTGAAAACCAGTTCATCACCTTCCGAAGTGATCTTCAGGTCGTTGTCGCGTGGGTTGACTGCTCCTCCAACGAAGAAATTGTTCTTGATGATAGCTTCTTGCACGCTATCTTGCTGTTCATCAGTGCCTACAACATTGGCCGTGGTAGACCACAGCAAATGGTACCCAAGCAGCATTCCAATCGATCCATCTCCTTTGGCAACTTCTCGAATAACTTTGTAGCCTGTTTCCCAGCTCTGGTGACGCGTCAGTAGCAATCCATGACTGATCAGGACAGGTTCCCACCTGCTCGCCGCCTCCGTACTTCTGAGGTCCGAGAACCTTTAGCAGGCCAGCGGATTTCAACAGCGACACTTCAGCTCTTGGGGACTTGTTCTCGATGTCACGCTTCGCGGCGTCCTCGGCGAGGATGTCAGAAACCTCCTTGGCACGCTGAATCCATCCTGCTTGGCTGGTAGGCAGGCCTGTATGGTGGAAGCGTTCGTGATGGGCGTTGTAGACAGCCGGGTCAGTAGACTCTCGTTTCGCCATGATGCAAGACACAAATTTCGCTGACGGTAGTGGTGACAAGAGTTGCAGCTCCTCTTCTGCAGGACATGATGGCCACTTTATGGTGCAGAACATCGTCGAGCACGCAATTCAGCTCCTCTCTGTCGCTGGAAACTTTAAAAGGCCTCGCCATCATAGTCAAAGACGATGCGACGAACCGAGAGGCGGGTAGCGTGAACGTGCGGGTCGTGGATGCCACATTTACCACACACCAGACTGTTGATCTTTTGCAGGGTGTTGTGCGAAGAAAGCTTGTGAAAGATGCCTTCGAATTGTTGCATCGAGCTGTCCCAAAGCGGTAACCGCCTCGGTCGGCTGCTTATTGCCACCATGCTCGCAGTACGCCTATGCTCCTGACGGAATCGTGCCCATACAAGCTCGACACTTAGTCGAGCTTCCATTAATGCTCATGCGCTCTATCGGTCTACTCGTATTCTCATCAATTGTCGTGACCCTGTATCTGGACAACCAGCGTCCAGCTCTTCCATGTCAACGCTTGCGCGCTGAGTATATAGTCTCTTTTCAGCTTCATTGTCTGCCATAGCGTCTTCCATTGCCACCGTTATCATACGGATTTCCGCTGCCACCATTCCAAGGAGCATTTGCACCCATCTGAGGCTGGTCGTACGGGTTTGGTGCTCCCACAGAGCTCATTGCAGGACTCGGCTGTGGACTGACACCACTTTTACCACCCCATAGCCTTGCTTTCAGCCTTTCTTGTGCACTTCCGGCAGCAGGAGGACCAGCACTACTAGAAGGAGGGCTCGGGTCTACTCGACTGCCAGGCCTGCTGCCCATTTGTTGTTGTGGCAGACCCTGCGTCTGGTAGCTTCCAGCTCTTTGCGAAGGTAACGGTCGAGCTTGAGGAGGAGCGAGGTTACCACTGCTCACGTTCGCAGGAGGCTGGTTCATCGGACGACGCGCATTGCGCAGGCTTGTGGGTTGCATGGGAGCGTTGTTCGCGGGCGCAGATGGAGGATCCCATAGATCGCTCAGACTACCTCGATGGCCACCTTGATTTTGTACATGCCCATACGGATTTTTCCCTGCTGTGCCTCCCAAGTAGTTGCCTTGCTGAGGCTGGGGTGTGATGGCGCGTTTGACATTGGGGTCTGGTGGTAGCCACGGAGGGAAAGGCCGGCCTTTCTCGCTGTAGTACGCTCGTAGGACGCGGCAGACGTGTGTATCATCTTCGGTGTCGCCGTCGTCTTCGCTTGAGAGGAGCGTCCTCTTGAGCGAGTTGTATCTGGAAGTGGTGTGCGTGAGCAGGTTGCTCAAGTATGAAGACATTGTGGTGCTCGTGTGTGCGATCCTGGTGCTGCGTCAACAAGATATTATAGCCAGCATGTATTCCAGTTTGTGATTGTCAAAAAGAGTGATCAGTGTGAAGGAGAGTTGCGGGACAGCGGGCGACCTCATCTCATGATTCTCATCTTAGCTTCCAACCGCACCACACTTCCCTTCTCGCACCATTCACATAGCAACCACATGAACATGCCGCATGCCGCCGAGTTCAGAGCCGAGTCTTTATAGTCTCGAGCAGGTTCTCGAAGCAAGACGGGCTCATATCCTCCGTGGAGGATTTCACGATCTTAGTGCTACGGGTCACTTACGCTACGAAAATACAGACAAAGCAGATGACCGCCGTTACACCACCAGCGGAGCTCCCAATGTGAGAAGGGCCTTCAAGAGCCTTCTCCGTTGATCAAAGCATCGCGAACCGCCTTTTCTACGGATCTATATTTACTCGCACACCACCATTCGAAGCCGCCACGAAGAACCACGACGCTCAAACCCGTACCAGGATCTCTCGCACAGATCTAGTTCTCTCTTGATCCTTCAACGACCAAGCCATATGCACTTCGAACGTCACTTGGCAGTAGAATATTAAGCACAAGGCAGCATGTTGCGAAAAATTGCCAGCTCGCTCACCGCTGGGAGACAACACAGCAACCGTGAAGCTCCACAATCCCTACATCAGAATTGCGCGGAAGTTGCCTGAACACGAGAAGACATCGGTCTCGAAGTGAAAACTGGAGTCTGCAAATGGTCAACAAGCTCTGCTGAAGAAATTCCTTGGGCAGACTACTGCAATTGCGGATTTCACACCACACAAGCCAGGATTTTGGAAATACGGCACAACTACCTCAGGACTGCACCATGCCATGCGAAATCTAGCTCGAGCTTGCCTTGCAATCAGAGCCTGAAACGTAGCACATGTACCTTTCAAGAGGCAAGCCGTCTAAGACGAGGCTGAGAAAGGGTTAATCCCTGATCGGCAATTTTCGGCCGCAGACGAATGCACGCACATCAACGATGTTCCTCGTAAAAGAAATATTGGACACCAACTACATCTTCTGAAGTCTATATGCGCGCGTGAAGTGAGAGAAGGGGATGGGATTCTGCCATTCTAGTGAGTATCTGTCGTTATCTCGGCCGTGATTCTAATGCATGCATGCAAATACCCAAACGAAAATACAAGCTTAGTAAACGTATCTGAAAGACTTCTGCTTCTCCTTGTCGGTCATATTGGCCCAGTCATCTGGATTGACCTCTTCTGGGGTTTGTTCCCCAGCAGGTCCATACAGTTTGTTTCGCCGCCCGTTTTCGAAGAGGTAGTACAAGCCTAACAAAGTGATGATACCGAGCGCGATTGCTTTTGAGGCCACCAGAACTAGTCGTGCCGGTTCGAAGTCTGGCGCAAATTTTTGCTGAACAGCATATGGTGCTACGATATGGCCGATCGAGAAGGCTCCGCTCACTATTGCAGTGCTGGCGGCTCGTTTCGTATGTCCACCAACATTTGCTGCTAACCACTGGTATTTGATTCCGACCGTATGGACCGAGAATGCGATCATGTAGATTCCTGCGAGCATGGCGCCTTTGTTCTTTTTATCAGCGAATGCAACCATGCATGTTCCAGTAAGCGACAAAGCGTAGCCAATCAACGAAGCAGTAACGCGATTGACCCAATGCTGTCTGACTGCATATGCGAAGAAGAGAGTGGCGACGACAGCTACGACTCCGCTAGGCATTTGGAGTAGTGAGGCTTGTTTCGAGGTGAATCCAAAACTTTTCACCAGTGTTGCTCCATAGATCGATAGGATACCTGATCCAGCGGCAACAATAATGACGTTAAACGTGAGCAGCCAGACTTGTGGGTCAACCAAGACCTCCTTCAACTGATACCATTCGATCTTGCGAGAAGACACGCCAGTCTTGTTGACTGCAACATGCTGCAGCAGCGCCTTCTTCTCGAGGTCAGTCAAAAAGCGGGCAGTCATTGGAGTGTCCGGCATGAAGATGAAGCTCAGAATGCCAGCGACTAGGCTGATCAAGCCAAGTACGAGGAACATGATGCCTGTGACAGCAGTCAGTTGCGGATCCATCATGGCAATCGACGGCACTTACGCCAGCCTTCCAGTGTCGAGGTATGGACATGCTGGAAGCCAAATGATATCAGACCTCCGCAAATCGTGCCCCATCCGACGCTGCTGAACCATAGAGCATATCTCATGGCCTGCTCATCTTTCCTGTAGTATTGGGCGCTGAGAAGCATGAGTGCCGGCGGTATCGCAGAGTCGAAGACGCCCATCAGAATTCGTATCCCAAGAAATTGATGGTATGTCCTGACCGCGGCGGTGCATGAGATGGTAATGCCCCATAGGAACATGTTGGCTCCAAGCCACTTTCCAAGGCGTACTTTGTTTTGTATCAAGCCAACGAGAGGACTCATTGCGAGGTATGCCCACCACAGAGAGGAAGCAATATTGTTCAGCTCGTTCCCCTTCAACTTCAGGTCCTTCGGCATTCCCATGATGATGGCGTAGTTCAACAGGAATTTGTCTAGGAATTGGAAGAAGTACAGAGCGAACATGATTGGCATCAGGTGCCAGTCTATCCGCCGCCGTAGCTTCTTGAGATCGACGGCCTCTTCTCCAGTAATCTCAACATGTTGCGCAAGGAAATCGTAGGCCTCGTCGACCGACTTTCTTGAGCCATGGATTGTCGTGACGAAGGTAACGCTCTTTGGTCGTGTCTCGTCACCCGACATAATGTTACTTGGCTGTCTTGGCGTATAAGTCATGAGTTCCCAAGCAGTGATACCCATATTGATGGCGAACGATGGCAGATACCAGTACATTTATGTTGGCTGAGATCGTCCTGCTGCGTACCTAATGCTAGCCAAGCTTCAAGACACAAGCCTGCGAATGTACATAGATCATTTGAGCCAGGTCCAGGCTGCACAGAATCCCTGCTCGGTTGATACAAACCGCATCTGGCGAACCTCAGACTTCGATGCCAATGCAGTCCAATGTTTCGGTATCGGCTACGTGCGGTGACGCTAATTGTTGAGTACTCCGCGATGAAAACACTGCCGTTATTACAACTCAGATGTTCCACCAATTGAGAGGATCTTGCTGATGGACCTACGAAAAAGTGACGTTTTCAGGCTTACGGCTGGCATGTCACCGGCATTGTGTTGGGCGTCTCTGAATGCGATGCAGCCGCAGCATTGATGGTGTGCCGCTGTCGTGCGATCTTGTGTAGACTTCGAGGATGCGCTGTTTTCCGGCTTCTCAAAGCTTCATCTCTCAAAGTTCCTGATGGGAGCAGCGGTGTGCCTTTGAAGGCCTTCCATTGCACGAAGCTCACCAGCATCTTTTGAGAAGGGATGCTTCCTGCTAAGATTGATGGTTAAGGTATTGAATAGGAAAAAGCAATCTCAACCAGGAGTCTCCAGGAAAGTCTCATGGCACCCGCAGCCAAGAGGCTATATAGAGCAAGCTCATAGGTGCAGGGTATGAGCCTGAGCCCACGCAATAAATAAACTAGCATTCACGTGCCGGGACATTGAACAGAATCTCCGAGCGAGAAGCGTGTGGTAGGGTCGAGCCGTCCTGATGACCAGCAGTTGCATGCATGATGCGCATCCAGCATCTCTTTACGCCGGCGTACTGCATGACACCGTCACACCGCTGCTTGTCGGAGGGCCGAGGCGGAAAGTCTGGCAGCGATATTGCATTTCATGCGGGCATGACGACCAAAGCAACTTTACCAGGGCACTGGTAAGTGCCGACCGCCAGCTCAGCCCAGCGCTGCTCACCTAACTTTGTTCTGTCGCACTTCGTTCCATCTTACGTTCCTGGACCTCCTAATACTCGCACTCTCAACGTTGTAGACCATGTCAAGGCGGAAGGCTTGTATCCGTCCTCCTTTCCTCAGTGTGTTGAACAGAAGCAGGTTCAAGTTGTCAGGAGATGACGACACTTGCTCCTGTATGGCGCATGATCTCTTGGAGGAGCATTACAATTCCTGGTCGATCTGAAGATCGCCTTGTGACCGTCGGCGCGATGTATACTTTGCGAGCGCAGTAGAAGAGCTGAATAATGGCTAGCTGTTCCGAGTCTCCAGTACAGATGACATGGAGAGTCAATTGCTGGTCAGGACGATCGAATGCCTTGATGTAGAATGTGCAGACGCCATTCCTCGGCCGTACAAGCAGCGGAGATGCAGCAAGGTTCGACGGATATGCGTGACATACTCAGGGTGACCTAGCCAGCCTCCAACTCTGGCTAATAGTCTGTTTCCTGGAAAAGCGGTTGTGATGCGGATCAACTTGAGGGTGGTACCTCAGGCTCTCAGCATCGGCCACCAGCGCGGGATCTCTTCTCGTTCGCTCCATCGGCCATAGTAGTCGCGATGGTACTCCGTAAAGACTCTCATATTCTTTTGGTGCGAACTCAGAAGGAAAACATATGGGCTCAGCCTATGCCTAGTCCAGTGTTGTTGCAGGCTCGATGGCTGTGGCCAGGCTCTTGAGTAGGGAACTTGGCTCTATGGTGTGGTTCCTGGTATTGAAATTTGACGCGCAATTGTGCCGGTCTGTTGGTGAGGTTTCGGTATCGTGTGGAATCCTTGACCATGCTGAGTCAAGGGAACTGGGGCTGTCTTGACTCAGCATGCCTGACCGAAACACACTGTCGGAAACAGACTGGATTTGGAAACCCAGTGCGGTCCACAAGCAAGCCCGGCTTGCAATCTGGGTTGAGATTGCAGTCTAAGCCAATCCAATCTAGCCAATTTCTGCTTATTCAGCAATCTAAGCTAATCCAATCCAGCCCTTATTAGGGCAATCTAAGCTAATCTAATCTAATAGTTCTAGCAAACGATTACCTATATACCGCTCTATAGAGTCTATACTGCTATTAAGTACCTACTATCTACTATATACTATATACGACTTATATTCTAAGATCTAAGGTAAAAGAAAAGGAAAATAGTAGCGCTAAGCTATAGATACCGTAGAGGTTTGAAATATAGATAGTATTAGATACTAATAACCTGTAGTCGTCTAGTAGTAACTAGTTATAGTAGACTATAGTCGCTTAAGATTATAGTGGCTTCTATAATCGTTATAGTTAGTAGTAAGTATATAAAGCCTCTATAGATTATAAGCTAATATAATCTAGTCCTTCTAGAGATAATCTAAGCTAATCTAATCTAAGGGTTATAGTAAGCTAATCTAATCTAGGGGGTCTAGATTAGCTTAGCTTACTTGTAGACTATACTAAACAAGCCGCAAAGTAGCTATAACTATAGGTAAAAAGGCTGTCTAGGTTAGGTAGCAAGGAGAAAAGGCTTAGCAGTCAATCTAGTGTGTGTAAGCAAGAACAGCTAGCTGCAAAATGAAAAGACAAGCCCTAGTAGTAGATACCTTCCAATCGGTATCTATTATATTATCGGCAGTGACAACCAGATGGTAGGCTTACTAACCCGAATTCACTCAACTTTCCCTGTTTCCAGCCACGCGACCATTCTCACCACGGCACTATTCACATGCACAATCAGAGAGTTCTCGAAGCAGACTCGGGAACTCAGCACACTCGGACCAGTTGCATTTGCATTGCAGTGTCTGAAGTATTCGTGGAGATCTGCAGTTGAAGATGAGACAGCGAACGACCGATGAGTGACGAGGAAGAGACATTGTGTTAGTCTCGCAAGAGACGAAATAGTATGGAGAGTGCTGCGATGCGTGAATAGCTGCGACTCACTGGCAAAATCCCCTTGGGTACGATATGTGGAGCCCGTCCAAATGGCATCAGCAAGAAAGGAGTTATGGAAGAACATCACGACTCTGCCCGATCACAACATGGAGAAGGAAGGCTCAGGGCAGCTCACATTTACATATACAACTTGTGAAGACCTCGTGAATCCGCGAACACAGGTCTGACCCGCTTCCCCGAGCCAAGATCTCTGCTTGAGTCTTCATTCACTATGCGAGGAGATCGATCTTAGAAGCTCGAGCAAGGCAATATAAAATGCACTGACGAAATCCAGATCTGCTTCCTCCCAATACCAGCATGCCCTCAGATTCTCGAGACCTCCTGACGCCGCGTCTCCATTCGCGGACGATCAGTATGAAGATGGATCATGCGGGTCAAAACATCTCCAGTCATACCACAGACGTCACGAAAGCACCGCAGGCAAAGGTAGGAGAGCATGTCTCGACTGAGCAGGCAATCTACGACATCGGAAGTGCCAGTGGTGGGTATCATTGTGCAAACTATGCCATCATCTATCCTGGCAATGTTGCGAAGACCACTGCGAATAATCAAGGGCCTGATCAGCCACTGAAGAACGAGAGCTCCGAAAGCGATCCATTCGTCTTCGAGGGCCGCGTCTCAGAGGCCAGGCTTGCTGAGCTGTATCTCATGGGAGCACCAAGGAACAGCGCTCGGCGTGAAGCAGAAGAGACATCTACACGCCGAGGCTGAGACAATGCCACTGGTGTCTCCGTTCTCCGCGACGCGCATCGCACCAGATCGACGCCGCATCTATGTTACAACGCCATGCACCCACCTCGGTCCAGCTCTACTTTGCAAATGGCCTGGCACATCATAACCACGTCCTGCTGGCGCAGCATTGGCTTGTCTACTGCAGCGCTGCCTCATTCATCTGACGAGGTTGATTGTCGGAGCATTCCTAGTGCATGATCTGCTTCATCTGAATGCTCCTTGTTGCACGTCTAAGATACAGGTAGATATTAAAGGCACGGATCTCAAAATCCCCTATTGCCTCCCCTCAAATCTCGTTTTCGCCCTCGAGAACCTTTACAGACCTTCATGTTGCCAAGTTCCGGAATGCGATCAACCATGCCCTTCGTCTTCTATCAGAATGTCTTTGTTCACGCTTCTGCCTCTACGTTCCACTGCGATTCACTTGCTTTACCAGTGACTGGAAATGGCCAAGTACTAGGCATCACCTTTTCTAATAGGTTATAAACAGCACTATGGCCACTTCTACCCCTTCAACCACTTTGATTAGGGAGCCTCGCGATCTGCATTTCACATCAAACACTTAACCATTCAGGACCAGTTCATGCCACCTATCGAACCCAATCAGTCGCCCAAAATGTTTTCCAAGACATTAAACGGATCAAACAAGCTCCAGAAGCAAGTCGCGCTATACGTTTCTGTAGAGGAGCAGCAAAATCCAAGCATGGCGACTAGTCCAGACCCAGATCGAAAGCCACGAGGCTACATTCCCACGCCAATCCAAAACGCAATCACCAAACTCCGCACCAGAGCCAAAAGCATCGGCAAGATGGTACGACGCGTAAAACTTGCGTTGCGTCGAAGAAACACCGGGAGCGACACAAAAGGTTCGGTGCCGGTGCACTCAGACTGTTCAAGTTCCCTGACACCGCCGACGCCCTATCCACATCGTCAACAAATCGACTCATATTTCGATATCGATGAGTCCCCCGACGAGATCTCGAATGTCTCTCACAGCACGGCTCAATACATGACACTGGATTCGGATAGCTCTGGTGAGGAGCTAGATCCATCTCCTCCCGGGCTGCATGTGACGAACTTTTCGCCTGCTGACGAACAGGCTGCGGTAAATGCTCACTTCGTCGATTTCGATGGCGGGCCATATTGCTAGTCTAGAGCCGCTGGCCTTGGCGATGGTCAATGTGTAGAAGCTCGCAGCGACGGATATCGCCAGGATTCAGCCAACGTGCAGCTGCGGTGAAGGTAAAGTTTGGTGGAAGGCTTAAGCGTAAGTGCAGAGAGATCAGGCTTTTTGCCCAGCGCGTTGATTAGAGATTTGTGGCAATATTACGAATCATGGGATTAGGGAGCATTTTTGTACTTTGCAAATTCTGATCTTGACTTTCTCTTGCAGTAGTTCATCATCCATCTCGTCCGCTCAATCACGCTACGTGTAATGGCTTGCGTATGGGTAGGGTGTATCATACCTGACGTGCCCAACGAATAGTCTTTACGGTACGACGAATATCTTGTATCTTACTTGGGCATGCTATATTTTGCAAGGCTTCTTCAGCATGGTCACGTCTTGGCAAGGGCTTTCGTTCCCAGCCTGATCGAGCAGTCGGTTCTTATCCATTGAAATGGCAAGACAGAAGATGGGATTTGCAACTGCTGATTCGTGATAGAGAGCCATGCTTCATTTCCAAGTCGTATCTGTTCTGGCACGGAATGCTTTCGTGAGCTCTCTATGCCATACATGCTTTTCTTCCGCGCACATTAGTTGTGCTGCCCCTGCCGATGCCTGTCGCTGCTCATGTGCATATGCATGCATGATGCCCTTCCCATAGGATCTTGAGCATCCTGACTCTCCACTCAAGTCGCATTTTCAGTATTTCCCGAACGCCTGACGCCACGCTGGTCCTTCTAGTCATGCGCCGCAACAATGCCCTCGTCGCTTTCTGAATCGTCTTCGTCACCACTGACTTCCTGGTTCTCACGCTCACGCTTGTCCATGAGCGCTTGCAACTCGGCGTCATCGTTCTCCGTAACTGCCTTTGGTGCCATCTTGATCACACAGTTTCCTCCTGCGCCGCGGATGTTGTTGTCGATCTCCTTGATAGCTTCGTTGAGCACCTCGATGCCGTTGTTCTTGTCGATGGTTTGCGAGGTGAGGACGTAGAGTGGCGGCGATACAAGCTTGACCTTAACTTGCGTGTCTGGAGTGTTCTTTGCTTCGGCGGCGCGCAGAGCAGTCTTGACGGCGTCGATGCCCTCGTAGCCAAAACATGTGACCTGGAAGATCGGTTAGCATCTAAAGTACAGCGCGTGGAGGAGATTTGACAACATACCTCGACGTCAGCGCGAACCTTGGTGGGCTGCGGTGTGAGCCTCTTGCCAATATAGCTGATCAACTCGTCCTTGATGACCTCATTCTTGAAGGTGACCTCGTTCCACACATCCGGGTTGGTAATGCTGAGCTTGAAGGCGTCGACCGCATGGCCGTACTTCTTGTTGAGTGGCCAGCCAATGTCCTGGTAAAGCTCCTCGATCGGTGTGTTCGTCTTCTCGGCCACATGTCGCATGATGCTGTGAACCATTTTGCTCTTGTTGTACCGCTCTTCGCACTTGATGATATCCTCAGGGCTGACTCGACGCTTGGACAAATCAATGTATCCCTTCTCCTTGTCCACACGCAGTACAACGACGACCTCGTTACGACCGACGCGGATGAGTTTCTGGATAGAGCGAATACGTCGTCGCGACAGTTCGGATAGCAGAATCATACCGTCGATGTTGTCGTATTCCAGCAGCTTGACGTATGCTCCCATTTCGGCGATCTGCTTGACGTTGACCATGACGAAGGAGTCGATTTCAGGATATTTCTCCTCGTAGAAGCGGCAATTCGTGAGCGACATGGTGGCGCTGTTTCTTTCTCGATATTGTGTGTTTGGAGTGTGCCTTCGTTGGCGATTGGGTGCGCTCGAGGGTTGTGGTGGTAACTTGTTTGAATTTCGGTCAAGTTGAAGCTCGAACCTCGAATGACTCCAAAGAAGTTCAAACCGGCAAGTGGGGCAGAGCGGCAAGTGGGGCAAGGGTCGCAATCTTGCCAAGACCAACTCGATGGATGTCACATGCAAAGTGTCTTGAGTTTGTTTCATAGCTGAAGACGAGACTGCGGTGCCAGTCATCAAGGACTCGACCATGACCACTCGGCGGAGTTATTTCTCGCTTCAGCAGCCAGCCCTCCAGCCCTCCAGCCACTTCCATACTGGAAGCAAACAGAGATAAAAACATACCGCAGACCCTTCAAATACCGATATTATGTATGCTATATATCTCTTTCTTTTGATGATGATCGTCGTAATCTTCGTTTGTATAAGGATGTTTAGATGTCTCAATTCGGGGAACGAGCCATGGACCCTCCTCGACCAAAAAGCTGTCTACCGTCCTCCTCGCGAATTCCCCTCAGCATCCTCCTCAACCGTCGCTCCTTCCTCGAAATTCGACCCAGGGAATCTTTCTAAGAGACTCCATTGCTCTGGGGTGGGGGAAGAGGCTCCACGTTCCAGATCATCTCTGCATACTCATCGATACATCGATCGCTGCTGAAGAAGCCCATGCGAGCCACAGATGTGATTGTCTTGGTCAACCATTCCTCCTGATTCTTGTATGCCTCGTCGATCAGGCGCTGAGTATCAACGTAGCTCTTGAAGTCATCGGAGCAAAGGTAGTAGTCGCCGTGGTCAACGATCGAGTTGACCAGGGCTGAGAATTGACCGGCATCGCCGAAAGTGCCTTCGCGGATCGTCTTGAATACGCGCTCGAGGAGAGGGTCGATCTTGAATTCGCCGTAGAAATGGGAGTGGCGGAGATCTTCGACATCTTCGGCGAGGTTACCGAAGAGGAAGATGTTGTCCTCGCCGACTTCGCGAGTGATTTCAATATTGGCGCCGTCGCAGGTACCGATGATCAGACCACCGTTGAGCACGAACTTCATGTTCGAGGTACTAGAAAACTATTAGCATGTCATAGGACTCAAGCAGAAGTTCATGCTCACCCTGAAGCCTCAGTACCGGCGGTCGAGATGTGCTCAGAAATGTCGCTTGCAGGCACAATCATCTCAGCCTTGCTGACATTGTAATCCTCAAGGAAGATGACCTTCAGCAGATCGCCAATATCTTTGTCCTGGTTGATAACCTTCGCAACCTGGTTGATTAGGTGGATCACAGTCTTGGCCATCCAGTATCCAGGTGCTGCCTTGCCACCAAAGATGCTGACTCTTGGCTGCACCTTCTTGCGCTCCTCAGGAGACATATCCTTCAGCTCCAGGTATCGGTGGATGACACCAAAGATGTTCAGCTGCTGTCTCTTGTACTCGTGAATACGCTTCACCTGTATGTCGAACAAGCTGGCGGGGTTCACCGTGAAGCCTTGGGTGTCCTTGATGTATTTGGCAAGACGGACCTTGTTGGCGAACTTGATTTCTTGGAACTCCTTTCGGAAGTCCTTGTCGTCGACGTAAGCCTCAATCTTGTGAAGCAGTGTCAGATCTCTCAAGAAGTCGTAGCCTCCAAGCTTGCTGGCGATCAGCTCGGAGAGACGCGGGTTGGCCTGGTGCAGCCATCGTCGTGGAGTGATACCGTTGGTGACGTTTGTAAATTTGTCTGGGCCGTAGATCTTGACAAAGTCCTTGAAGATGGTAGTCTTGATCAGGTCAGAGTGCAGCTCGGCAACACCGTTGACCTTGTGGCTGCCAATGACTGCAAGGTAGGCCATGCGGACCATCTTTGGCTGGGACTCTTCGATAATTGACACGCGGGAAAGCATGTCTCGCTCCTTCGGGAATGTCCTCTCGACGTATTGCAGGAAGTTCAGGTTAATATCCTGTTCAGCGTCATCATCAGTGAGATTCTTCGTCATGTTTTCGATAAAGTCAGTAGATGTTGTATTCGTCTCCAATAAGCCCGGTAAGTTCGGAGTCTGGAGGCTACGCTTCTCAAGTCATGTTGCTGGTGCAATAAGAAAGGGATTTGCTCACGTAAATGACTAAAAGCAAAGAGGACGCAAGTCAGCGAGTGTCTACTCTATTGGGCCATGCTCAGAACCCAGGTATGTACTTACTTTGAAGATGGCGTGGAAGCAAGTGCTGGATAAGTCCAACAGACCACTTCTCCAGAGCTTCTGGCAGGACTGTGTGGTTGGTGTATCCGAAGGTCTTCTGCACAATGCTCCAAGCTTCGTCCCAATCGAGGCCTTCCTGATCGATCAGAATGCGCTGTAGCTCAGGAATGGCGAGTGTCGGGTGGGTGTCATTAAGCTGAATGGCGACTTGGTTCGGGAACTCCTTCCAAGCCTTCTTGGACTTCTTGAATCGACGAACGATATCGAAGAGGGATGCAGCACACCAGAAATATTGCTGCTTCAAGCGAAGCTCCTTACCACGCTCGAGGCTGTCATTTGGGTATAGCACAGCGGAGATGGTCTCGGCGCGCTGCTGGTCTGCCACTGATGCCTCATACTCGCCAGAGTTGAACTTGGTGAAGTCGAACTCTCCATGTGAGGCTTTGCTGCTCCATAGGCGTAGGTTATTGGTGGTTTTTGTGCCATAGCCTGGAACTGGAGCATCGTATGCGACGGCAGTGACGATCTCGCCATTCTCCCACACGCTGACCTGCTTGCCGCTGTCGTCGGTGTATTTCCTGACATTGCCATAGAACTGAATGTCGACGGTAACATCGTGACGTGGGAACTCCCATGGGTTGAAGTCAAGCCAGTAGTCTGGGATCTCGACCTGATAGCCATCTACAATCTCTTGCTTGAAGATACCGTATCGGTAGCGGAGAGCGTAACCCCAAGCTGGGTAGTTGAGGGTGGCGAGCGAATCGAGGAAGCATGCAGCAAGACGTCCGAGGCCTCCGTTTCCCAGAGCAGCGTCACGCTCTTGGGCGATCAGATCCTCCATGCGGAAGCCGAGATCCTTGACACCCTCTATATGGATTGTTAGCACGACATACGTATCATATTCTCCCTCGCAGTACTTGCCACTCGCAATGTCCTTCATTCCGGTGTTCAGCATGGCATTGTCAAGAGCTCTGCCCATAAGGAACTCCAATGAAAGGTAGTAAACACGCTTCGGGTCCTGGTATGTCTGGTTCTGCTGTGTTCGATTCCACTCGATGACGAGGCGGTCCCTGAAAGCCAAAGCTGTGCCTGCATATGCAGCTGCCTCGTCGCAGTTGAATAGCGATCGTGCGAGGGTCGTCTCAATGTGCCGTACAACCTCTCGGTCGAAGTCGTCCTTGGAGGTAAATTCTCTGGCGGACTATTCATTGTCAGCTCATTCTTCTATGCATTCGACCGCCGTAGTGTGTCAGCTTGCTTCAGTCAGGTGAGACTCACATATTTCTTCCAGGCTTCTCTCAGGTGCTCTGGAATGCTGGCCTCGACAGCCTTGATCTCCTGTGGACCAAATCCGGTCACTGTTCGCTTGTGCTTTGGTCTCGTAATACCGTGTGGTCCGACTGGGCCCTGGAAGTCGGTGATGGGAGCTGAGGTGCTTGGCTTTCGCTCGCGAGGCGCAGTCGCGCTTGAGGCAGCTGTCGCCATTCTTGCCAATTCGTCTGTATCAAGCCTGTATACCCTTCTATGCCAACCAATGCCCCAAGCGTTGTTCTCAGGCAGAAACTGAGGGTGAAGGGTGTGGTGTAGAAGTCGGAAAGTGGCAGGAGCGAAACTCTTGTACCAAAATAACGTGTTGAGAGCTGCAGCTCAATAATGGCATCCAGGGCGACGCCGACGCGCATGTGACGCGGGGTACAATGGGGTAGCTTTGCAGTGCCGCCACCTCACACCTGCATATAATACAGCACGGACATACACCGAAGAGGCGGTGACCTGACGATCAATCGATTGCCCGCAGCCCTCACCGTTTGCTTTGCACGCTAGAGTCTTGTATGTAGTTCTACAGTACAGTATGGCATTACTGGACGATCACGATTGCCCGCTCAGTTCCCGACGCGAAGCAAGCACCGACGTGGCTTGGCTTGGCTTGCACTTGTCTCGAACCAAGAGCCTCAACAACGGGATCCACTTGTGCGGGTTGAGTGTGGATACGCGCCTTGCATGCAGTCGGGTCGTGTACAGGCTCGGTGAGCATCACTTCATCGTCAGCGGCGGGAAATATTAGCAGACACTCACCTCCCCTATCAATAGAACCTGTTCCTGGTATTCCCCGTGGTAACCTTCGCGCTCATCCCGCTTTCGTACGGAGGACTGTGTGGCAGCGAACCAAGCAAGACAGAGACAGGTCCAAAGCTTCCGAAATCTTGCTTTTGCAGTGTGACACTTGGCGTACAATGCTTGTTGCGGATGTGGTGGACGACATAGGTGGCTATTACGGAGGTGTACAAAGAAGCTGTGTGCAAAAGAGATCGCTCGACCGCTCTCCGAACATCCAATAGCGCCATCAGTGCTGGAACCTTTTCTTCTACATTCGAATTTCGTAATACGCTCCTCAATCATCTCTTCTTGAGCGTCGTAACTAGGTTTTCCTGGAGGTACTCTATCACCTTGTGACTGATCGTGCCCTGGTTGTACAGATGCTGTGCTAGGCCTTTCACGACTGCCATCTGTTCTTCAGGCGTGAGTCCAGTGATGGCAGTTTCGATGACCCCTCCAATCGTGGCCTTGTGCGTGGCAATGAAGCTCTGGTAGTACATGTAAGAGAAGAAGCCCATGATGAATTGGCAGTCCATGCGATCGGTCATGCCGCCGTGTCCGGGAATGGAGTCGCCAAAGTCCTTGATGTTGAATGTTCGCTTAAGGCCAGAGGCGAAGAAGCCACCGAATGGAGCAATCAGAGAGGCGAAGGAAGCCATGACCAGGATGTGGAATTGCATCGGCGAGACTGTGAGTGTCTGAGGTAAGAAGTCCCAGGTGTGAGGAATGAAGGGTAGTGTGTAGTTATGTGGGATGAACACTGGGTTGGCCTCGCATTCAAGACCAGTGAAGATATTGGCGCCAAGGTCGTTGACCGGGCAGATGAAGTACTTCGATCGCATAAGGAGGTTAGTGAAGCCAAAGCCCATCAAGATTGTGCATATCCAGGCACCGACGAAGCCTGGTAGATAGACATGTCAGCTCGCCGAATAGAGATCATCAATCAAGATCATGCTCACCTTCCACGGTCTTCTTCGGTGACAGCTTGATCAATTGTGTCCTTCCAAATGTAATTCCGCAAATATAAGCGAAGATATCGTTGATGATGACCAAGCTGACAGGCAGGAAGAACCAGATCATGCCTTCGAAAATATTGTTCATGATGAAATGTGCTTGGACTACAATCAAGTACAAGGCCATGTGGGTCCACGCAAACTGCGTGAACTGGAATTTGTAGTGTCCCTTCTGCAGCGATCCAACGAAGAAGACGAAGCCTGGCAGGCGTCATTAGCAACGCATTTCATACCATCGTTGATAGATTTACATACCCATCACGTAGAGCATAAAGCTAATAAACCTATGATGTGTCGCAAAGGGCAGCAGAACCTTGTCGATCAGGACAATGTGCTTGAAGTAGTAGATGACGCTTTCTCCGTAGAGGAAGTACATCGTTGTCCCCAGAAAGTACCAGTTCAGCGATTTCGAAAATTGAAGTGCTCGAGCCCTACTCGGCACATTTGAGATGGCGATGACTTCTTTGAAGGAGAGAATCTGCACTGCAGTCACGACGATGATCACATAGATGTGACCTGCGAACATGCAGCCAAAGAAAATGGCAATCATCACGATCGTCCATATTCCGCGGGTGATAAAGGTCTGCTTCTTCTTTTCGAAGTCGGATTGTTCTTTTTGGACAGGCTGGATATAGGTCAGCCACACACTCTTCTTACAGCCCGACATAGTGTTTGTACCTTTTCATTCTCGTCTTCCGTCTGCCATCCGCTGGCAGTAGTATCTGTCCGATCCGTCCTTGGTCGCGATCCCTCCCTGTTAGGCGATTTTGGTGCGCCATTCCTACTGGCAATTTTGTGACCGTTCGACCGTACCGGGCTTCGCTCGTCGGTCGGCGATTCGTAGTTGAGGTCGGACATGCTGCTGCTCATGCGCCTTTCGCGATGCTTGAAAGTCACGTCTTTCTTGGGTTTCGTCATTCTTTTTGTGCTGACAGCTCCGAAGATATCGCGCAGCTCACGTGAAGCTATGGGGAGACGTCGATGATCAAGTAGAGTGACTTCCTGCCTGTTCCTGGTCCGCCTGGCTCTGGATGTTTGCTGGCGGATTTGGCGGGAGCTGTAGAGCTACCCACGTGGTGTCGTACAGTATTTCTGTTCGTCTCGTCGAAAACGTTTGTCGCGGTCTCGCCGGTCGCATCGCAGGACGTTCAGTACGCAGTCGCAGTGAAGATACGGCGAGTCGTGTTGCCGTGCGAACGTGGTCGGAGTAGAAACAAGATGTTCTACTGCGCTTACGATGTCACCTTGCAGGTGATGCAAAGCAGCGCCTCGTTTCTTGGCGCAATCATGTGAAAGCAGTTAGCGCGACCTCCAACGCGACTCACTGAATCCGAACGCGACCGGAACGAGACCATTCTGCCTTCCGACACGAAGCACAGAGGGTTCGTGTGCTGTATGCGTGCAGGCAATGGCGAAGAGAGGCTGCGAAGATGGCCGAGGAAGACTTCTTCTCCGACGATGACCTGGACGACATTCCAGCCAACACTCTAGACAGGCTTGAGCAGCAGGCATTCAGATCGACTCAGCAGCAGCTCAATCCCAACCCGCAGCTCCCGAGACATGTACAGCAACAGCAGCCACCTCAGTCCTCGAGACCACCTGTTCCTCTACGTAAGCAGGCACATACCGCATCGAGTCTAAATCGGCCAGGGAGCGCAAAGAATCTGCCATGGCGACCACCGCAGTCGACCTTTGGCAGGCCGAGTCAGAAGCCGCCGCAGCCTCAGGTACCTAGTGCTCCGCCTGCTAGTGCTCCGCGCCCTCCATCATCCGATTATGGCTTTGACGATGAGGACGTGATTGACCTGGACGAGCCTTCCACAATCATTCAGCCGGCGCCCCAGATCCAGCCTCACCGACCGAGCTATCAAACACGACCAGTACAGCGAAATGGCGGAAGAGTATCTGCTGCACTGGATCCGGAGACGGCTGCTGCTTTCGCAGCAGCGGACGAGGAGTTGGACGGTCAGACATTTGGGCGATGGCCTCAGGCTGTGATACCGCAGCTATCGAAACCGGTGCAGGCCGGTGCGTCAATGGATATGGCAGCATTGCAGGCCCGGATAGCAGAACTAGAAGCAGAGCAGGCAAGACTGCGTCTGTCGGAGCAACAAGCACGAGACGAGGCGAGGGCGAAGCAGGGCGAGATTGCCATCGTACGCAGCAATCAAGAGAAGACTACCAAGCAATATGAAGCTCGTATCTCGGTCATGCAGAGGCTACACGCAGAGGAGGCAGCCAAATCCAAGGCTGAACTTGAAGCTCAACGAAAAGAACGCGAAAAGATGGAGACGGACAATCGGTTCTTGCAGCACGATCTGGCCCAGGAAGCTGAGCGTACCAAAAGGCTGACTGTTCCGTCGAGAGCAAAGAATACGCAGCGAGAAACTCCGAGGAAAATCAAGAGGACGGCTCTTGGAGACGGCTTCGATGATGGCGAATTGCACATGACAACCAGCCCGAGCAGGAGCAGAGATAAGTTGAGAGGCGACCTAACACCGAAAGCTGGCGCGAAGCGGAAGCGGCCTGCTCACGATAGTCCGGTGCATTCACTCTCGTTCACGCAGCCGCCCGCCCAGCTCAGACATGAGAGTACAGGCGGTCAGTCGGCGGTACCGTTCGCCTCGACTGGCCCACCAGAGCAAGCAACGACCAAAAGGGATGGCAGGTATGAATTCATGCAGCAGCTCCTCAACCACTTCCCACACGAGGGTCACGCGGCAACGGTGGAGTCATTGGCTAAGTACAGCTTCCCTTCGCAACCTACCAAGACTCTCTCCTCTATTCTCATGCACGACATCTCCTACATTTCTAACGATGAGTCGCTACCTTTGAGGGTTGCTGAGGTATGCATCAGCCTGTGGTCTAAATGTCTGGCTGAGGAGTATCTTGCCCCGTTTTACTTAATCTTGGAGCTGGTACGCTTCGCTTTGCGAACTCAGTCCTCAGCTGCAAAATCTCAATTGCTCGAGCAGGCAATTCCACTATGCACCCAGACGATCGAGCTGATTGCAATTCCAACGTATCGTGCCTCGACCAATCGAAAGTTTGCCGCAAGCATGGATCGAAGAAAATTCGAAGAACAGGCTGATGAAATCGATGTTGAGCGAGTGTTGGAATTCCTGCAAGATCTTTGCCACGCTGCTTCGTTGCAAGGCGAACGCATTGAGATCTTTTGGAAAACTATGGAGCAGCAATTTGTCTTGCTTATGCTCAACAAGGCACAACCCATTGGCCAAGTCATGACGCTACTCGAAATGCTTCAGACTGCGACTCGCGAGACGACGTTTGGAGTGATTGCGCAGAATGCAACGAGGCAAGCAGAATTCGAGAGAGGGACAATTGATCGGCTCACCAATCTGCTTTTTGAAGTGCTGGAGGCGGCGCAGGGTGAGGAGGCATACAGTGACGCTGAAATACTGGAGCTCAGGATTGAAGTGCTCAAAGTCCTTCGACAGATGTGCCAAACAGATCACGGCGGAACGCTTCTGGTACAGAATCGAAGTGCCATTGGCAGACTCGTCCGGTTCCTGGACGCTCACGTCAAAAAGCTGTACCAGGCTCGACCGACTTACGGCTTGTCGTCGGAAGAAGAGAGGCACAATTCAACGACTCATGATCTACTGGCGAAATGTGTTAACGTGACTGTTCGCCTCATCTATCACCTTCTTCGTGTGTATGGCGACAATTTTGACTTTGTGCCCAAGCTACACGCGGTTCATGGCGGATACCACAAATTCCTGGTCAGCATGACACGCATAGCCTTCACTGAGCAGCACATATTCGAAGCCGGAATCGAGGATGAGGCTGCTGAAGCCGCGCACAGAATACTCGATAGTGTTTTGGGTCCCGAGGATGGGGAAGCCGTGATGAAAGCGATCGAGACGCCTCGCGGGACAAGAGGAAGTACGACGGAGAAAGCCACAACGAGTGGCGAGCAGACGCATGGTGACAGCCAGATGGATGATACCGTGATGAGTGAGCCGGGATGAGCAGACCGAAAACTCGCGCGTCAACGATTTCTTCAATGCTGCTCTTCAATCGCGCGTGAACGCGTTGTCACGTTGAGCCGAGTTTCAGCATCAGATCAACAGCATTAACGATTGAAAAGTCTTACGATAAAATCATGCCGCTCGCTGTCACGGACATGACGCGCGCGCATCGCAACAACACCAACACCAGTTTCCACCATCGTTATGATCACTTTGGCTGAATACCTTTTGGCAAGACTTCAACAGTTGGGCTGCAAATCGCTTCACGGCCTCCCTGGTGACTTCAACCTGACGCTGCTGGACTATGTGGAGAGCAGTGGCTTGAACTGGGTGGGAGTATGTCTGGGTCGCGCAGGCGCTTTCGACGTAGGAATGGACAGAGCACTGACGAGAGGATAGAATTGTAATGAGCTCAACGCCGGCTATGCTGCTGATGCGTATGCAAGAGTTCACGGACTGGGTGCAATATGTACGACTTTTGGTGTAGGCGAGCTTTCCGCAGTCAATGCCACTGCGGGCTCGTACGCCGAACGCGTTCCTGTTGTTCACATTGTTGGCACTCCTACCAGGACTAGCCAGAGAAATGGCGCTCTTCTCCATCACACTGTAAGCGCATCATCCTCACTAGGTTCCTGGCTGCGCGCTGATGACAAACCGCACAGCTCGGGAACGGCGACTTCAGAGTCTTCGCACGAATTCATAAAGAGATCACAACTGCTCAGGCCGATCTTACGGATCTTGCCACCGCACCTGCCGAAATCGACCGCGTGCTGCGGACCTGCTATATCGACTCCCAACCTGTGTACTTGCAGATACCGATGGATATGGTCCACGAGCATGTCGATGCTACGCTTCTCAACACTGCCATCGATGTCTCACCGCACCCGAGCAATACTGAAGCTGAAGACTTGGCCCTACAAATCGTACTGGAAAAGTTGTACGCTGCCAGAAGACCCGTCTTGTTGATGGTGCTGCGCAGAGACGCAGAATCCTTCCCGCTGTGCACGCGCTCATCGTGAAAGCACAACTCCCCGTATTCACCGCACCAATGGGCAAAGGCGCAGTAAACGAAGACCTCCCGAACTTTAATGGCGTCTACGCAGGAGCTGGCTCTCATCCAGAAGTCGCAGAAGCTTTGGAGAGCAGCGATCTGATCATCACAATTGGCACCATCCAGTCCGATCTGAACACCGTCGGCTTCACCCACCAGTTCTCGAAACTCAATGAGATTGATATCGAGTATGATTGCGTTCAAGTGGGCTACGCGAAGTTCGAGAAAGTCTTCTTCAAGTCTTTCATTCCTAGATTTACCCAACTCCTCGACCCATGCAAGCTCTCACAGGACTCCAAGATCATTCCCAAGATCTCCCCATCAACACCCATCGGCACGGATAGCGAGACCATCACACACATATACCTCTGGTCACAGCTCGCATCCTTCCTCCGCGATGGCGACTTCTTCATCACCGACACCGGCACATCCTTTATCGGCGTTTGGGAAACTCGACTGCCGCGCAATTGCACGATCATCAACCAGATCTTGTGGTCAAGCATCGGCTACGGCGTAGGCGCAGCTCAAGGCGCAGCGCTAGCAGCTCAAGAACTCGGCAAAGGCCAACGAGTCATCTGTTTCGAAGGCGACGGAGCTTTCCAACTCACCGCACAAGAACTCTCCACCATCATCCGCCACGATCTCGACGTCACGATGTTTGTGATTGAGAACGATGGCTATGAGATTGAGAGATGGATCCATGGATGGGACGCGAGCTACAACGACATCCCGCAATGGCAGTACTCCAAATTTCCCGAGGTGCTGACTTTGCCTTCTTCGAAACATAAGTTCAGAACCTGGAAGATTTCAACGAGGTCTGAACGGGAAGGATTGCTCAAGGATCCGAAGTTCGACGAGGGAAAGGGTTTGCAACTTGTTGAGATGCATATGCCTAGAGGTGATGCGCCGAAGACGCTGAGAGACATTGCCGAGAGGAGGAATGGAGTTCCTGCGTCTAAGGCTTTCACCGTGGTAGAGTGACGGTGGCGAGGAAGAAGTAAGCAATTCATGATGCAGCATGACTCGGTGTTCACACTAGATTAGAACCAGCGGGTGGGGAACTCATGCACACAGCACTGATCACACATCAGAAACGCATATCTAGCATCTTAGACGCCGCACAAATCCTAATCTTTAATACCTCTCTTCCTGCGCTCTCCACCTCGCATTCAAAATACAAACTGATATCCCCCCAAATTCTCATATCCGCAATCAAATTGCTGAATTCCAATTCTGAACCATACCCATAATTCCTTAAACTCGCACCAAACGATCATCATCCCTACGACCATGAACGACTAAAGCAGGCTTCGTTCGGTCGCAAAAGTGCGTTGAGGAGATGAGTCGAATTCGTAGAGTATCTAGCAAGCGTAAGACAAGGCGCGTTATCTAGTGAGAGAAGTGTGAGGGTGAGGGTGATGGGGAAGCTGCTTGGCATCAGCGACTCGACTCGCGTATTATCCATCGGAAGGAAAAACAAAGAGGCTCGTAGAAGAGTAGGACAGGGTTTTCCAAAGCTGATTCTATGATTTCAAATAATAAAAATCTCGCTACCTGCTCATCAGACCTTCGACTTAACAAACCCACGAGTCCAATAACCCGGCCACTGCTGTGGTACAGATTCCAGAATCCATCTCGTGATGATTTGGTTGACTTCCTCCGGCTTCTCTTGAGCGACCCAATGACCGGCTTCAATACTTGCCTGGTTGGAAAAGGTCGGTCAGTCAGCAGCACATTCAAAGACTTTGTTTTTATGCTCAGCTCACCTCTGTCAAGTTTGTACAAAACTTCCTGCCGGGCTCGGCTAGGGAAGATGTGAAAGTGTCACAGATGGTGTCGTATCTCGCATGAATGAAAAGCGTTGGCATATGGAGATAGCCATCGTTCTTGGCTTTCTCGAAGAAGTATTTTCGGTTCGTTTCGTGGTTCGCGTACCATGCATCGGCACCGTAGAATGAAGTGCGCTCCATGGCTTCGACGAGATCTTTGTAGATATCCTCGTCAATGCAGGTTGCTTCGATCGGGATTTGTTTCCAGGCTGGGTCTGGCTTCTCGAGGCCACCGAACCACCCACCATCTTTCTGCACATTCGCTGTGAAGGCTGGCTTGCCGAGGCTGGCTGGACTGCCTTTCGCATAGAAAGCACGCACGCATGCTGCGATATCGGAGTCAAACCATGATGTAGCCTTTTCAAAGTTGACTTGATAGAATCGTTGATAGTCCCACTGGCCGTAAGGATACTGGTCTTCGGGATAAGTGTCGCGGTTGACAGTCTTCAGCTCTTCTTCAAGACCTTTCTCAATGACATGGCTCGGCACTGCTAACCCTGCCACTGCAATGGTTCGCTCGGGGTAGTGCTCTGCGAAAGACCAGACCGCACCACAACCCCAATCATGCCCGATCCAGATCGCAGCTTCCTGGCCGACGTGGTCCAGCATAGCAGCCATTGCAATGTTGATGCTCTCCAAAGAGTAGTCTTCGATCTTCTTGCGTGCTGATGTACGACCATAGCCTGCCCGATGCCTGTCAGTAGCGATGAAAGCGTAAGCCGTGTTTGCCGAGTTTACCTGGCATGTCTGGGGCAATCACTCTGAAGCCCAGATTGGCGAAGGTGTCAATTTGGTTCTTCCACGTCTTCGCAATCGCAGGCCAGCCTTGAGATATTCGTCAGCCATATTCAATATATTCCTAACGACGCTAAACTTGCCATGTACAAAGACGATGGTCGGCCCATGCTTTGGCCCAGCAGCAAGATAGAAGATCTTCTTCTCGCCATCGTGAGTGTAGGTGGCCTCGTGTTCTTCGTATTTGACCATTTTGTAAGCGTAGAGAGCTTATGGATTGGCACAAAAGACCAAAATGTTTGGTATATAATGTGGATAGTCAGCTCACTTTATGTGTTTAGTCCTTGAGTAGCACCCTGGTGGTCTTGGCGAGAGGAGCTCGGTTGGACGAACAAGGTTCGTGCTCGTGAAGAACCGAGCCGGACGTGATAGTCGTAAAATGCGAATCTGCAACATGGCGGCTGAAAATTTGTACGACTCTACGTGACGAGGTGTCATCCTTCAGGACCCATAAGCTGAGGTTTGTACGTCCGGAGTGGAGCGCGAGAGTGCCCATTAGTGATGACAGCACCGCTAGGCTGACAAAGCTGACATTGTCGAAGTGGGGCCTGGAAACAGTTCCGGGCAATGCCAGTGTAGATGCCGTACTCGTTCGAATTGTTTGATATAGCTTTCGCCCTGCATAATATCACCTGAGTTCCTAAACGCCGCTGTGAATTCCTTCATTGGTCCATCTTGACTCTAGGATTTCTGTTCAAGGATCGTTCAGACTGAGACTGAAGACTTGACCTCGATGCGAGCTCATTCAAAATGGCCGATAGTATGCACACCAGCACTGTAGTCGCGGAGGAAATCGATTTCATGGGCCTTTGGTTCACGATGTACAAAGGCCTGGAGGTATTGAAGAGCACCACGAGCAGAGTCGACATCTACGTCGGGATCTTTTTCGGCTCGTACCACACAACAGGAAGATCGTAAGCTTTTTCAGGAACCAAATCGATGCGGACTTCCTTCAGCAGTTTACAGCCGTTCTTCAAGTAGAAGTTGTAGGCCAGCAGACTACTCTCGATGACCAGAGGGATTCCAGTCTTTTCGGAAACATCCACGCCCCATTGGAAGAGACGCTTGCCAACACCAGTTCCCCGCTGACCGCGTTGCCACTTCGGAGCGACCATCAAGAATTGCAGGTGCATGCACGGATCCAGACCCTGCACACCTTCGTAGACAGAATGCAGTCGGTCCAGACACATTGCGAAGCCTTTGTAGTCGAAGATTCTATTCAAGAAGTAGCGGTAGTACTCCAGCTCGATGCCACCTAGCATTCTCTCGAATCCAGCATATACTCCAGCTCGTTGGCTTCTCCATTCCTGCCCGACAATATTGGCGTCGCCCTGGGCTTCCCAGGAGGCGAAGCCGACGATTTCGGTGCTCTGCTTGCCATTGATAGATGGGGTTGTGGCTTCTGCAACCATGTATCGACATTCTGGCTTCATGAAGAATTGCTTGATGCGGCGAAGTAGGAAGTTGTAGAACTCCTCCTGGTTCTCCCTTCGAGTTGGGCAAAAATGGTCGTGGAATTCGAAGGTGAGAAAATTGGTCTTCAAGATCTCTGTCATGTATGGAATATCTTCGCGTCTCGCCCATCGTAGCACGATCTGAGTCTCCATAGCGATCTTCGTCAAGTAGTATCAAGTGCTTCAGTCTTGATCTGCTGTTGTTGGTGAGGTGTTGGGTCGGAAGAGTTGCTCACCACTTTGGCTTCGTGCATACAACTTGCCCGCCGGCCGAAAGCTGTCGCTGTCGGCAGTCTATCCCTCTATCCCCCTGGCAATCTTTTCCATGATGCCTGGACTCATAGTAACAAGTGTCACAAGCTCTGCTATGGTGATGTGTGTGTCACAGCGAGGGGGCAAAGGAAATGAAGGTCAACACGGTATGAAAAGTACGCAGCTAGGGATGAGAACATCTGAGGTCGGCTGCCATCTTGCCAGCCACTTCCTCCTTCAGCACATGCACATACTCCTCCTCCGGATCGCACTGCTGCTCTACTTCCAGCCTTCTGCCATATCTTACGATTTCGAGATTGTTGTTCATGCTCTGCCACCCACATCGTCTCGTCGTCTTCGACCTGCTGCAAGCCAGACACGAGATCTACTTCTGCTGGTCTAAGCAATCATCGATCATTCCGACCAACGAGCAGCTTGTGGCCTAGAATAAGACGAGAGATCTTGGAATGCCAACATATGGGGTCAGGACACCGGTCACATTAGAATGCCTGGGTTGACAATCGATGGCGGCGCAGGAATGCCCGCGTTCTTAATGGCAAGCACCTTTGGAGAAGCATTGGCATTTCCTGCGGCAAATGACGCCTATAGCAAGACATAGGTACCTACCTCTTATATCAGCGTGCAGCACATGGTAGTGGCGTGGCAGACATGGACATGGGCATGGTCTGATCTGGAACATGGACTAGCACTTGTGAAGCAGTGTACAGAGACACGGTAGGTAGGTACTGCAACTCCAAATTGCACTGTATGTGTCTAATCCATAAGCACTCCGTACCCATCCTACCAACCCAACCCCAAAAGTCCAAACGATATATCCCCACCCACTAAAACGCCTCATCCTCGTCCTCGTCCTGTTAATCCAAACCCCACCGCCCCAAAACACCTCTTGATTCTACCACCCTCCCCACTCCTCCCTCCCTCACAAACTACCACTCAAATCCCTCTCATGCAACCACTCAAGCTCGCTCCAAATCCCCCTTCGAATTTCCTCTCTCCTCGAAATCCTCTCAAACGTCTGCGAATCCGACGAACGTCCGGCAAAAATCCCAGTACCTCGGGCATAAGCGTTAGAAGCTCGTGTTCCGAATCTAAAATATCAGAACTAGTTAGTATAAGATAAGGCGAGAGCGACGTGGTGGTGGTGGTGGTTATTTATCTTACACAACAGCGAAACCTCCTAGAAAAACCGCGAAAGTTTTCATCATCATCATCATCGTCGTTGTCGACATGCTTTGTGCGCTGCTTCCTGTTGTTTTAAAAAATATAAATGGACAGCGGGTTTTGTGGTATGGAGAGCAGTAGCCACGACGTTGAAATAGTTTTCGAGGCGAGTGGGATAGTAGGGGTTGCTTTCTGTATCCGTACTGCTTGTTGAGTCCTTTCTGTTGGTGGCTGGTGGTTGGACCATGGTGAGAAAGAAAAAGAATCAATGTCTGTGTCTGTTTGATATATGAGAGTTGATGTGGATGTGGTTGGAGAAGAAATGCGTTACGTGTCTGCCTACTTCATGCACTGTATATGAATTCGCATCCGACAGATTGTCACGAAATCACGGCTTTGGTGTACGGCATGACCATGTCAGGAGAGTCGGCAGATGGGACATGGGCTGATGTCCCGCTCGTGGTCGCATGCCGTCACGGTTGTGGAGCACCTGGGCGGCGCTTTCCGATGGAGATCTGCTGGGATGTCTGAAGATGTTCCATGTGGCGTGATTTGTTAGACGACACATCTCGGATCGATGCTTGAAGAATGGAGCGCGTGTGGGCTCATTGCGTGATATAAGCACGTTTCAAATAACAACAACATGGTCTGCTTCTTTAATACCTATCCCTTCTCTATCTCCACTCAGACCTCTAGTGGGAAGACACGAGAGCTGCATCCACGGAGCTTCCGAAAGGAGCCAGTCCCCTTCTATCACTCACCTCATCAACCCCCCATCATCCTCTCTAGGAAGCAAAAAAGGCAAAACCTCACACGACTTCCCATCCGGACAAACATTCTTCCTATCAAGATCTTTAAACAGAGGTCCATTCGGTCCAGAACTATACTGACACAAACCTTCAATCTCCAAAAAACACTTCTGTCTGGGATCTGACTCCGGATATCTATCGTCACCCCATTGACCATTGAAATAGAGCCAGTTCACGGGTGCATTATCGCTATACGGCGTGAAAGTGTTGGAAGAGGGGGTGTAGCTGTAATAATATGCCGAAAGAGTCGGGTCCCAAACTGGTCCTGCGTCGGAATGGTCTTCGACGGGTCCAGCGGGAAGATTGATGCCTGGGATTGTGTGGTCGTGAGTTCCTGTGGTGGCATAGTTGGCGTGAGTGCCGTTGGCGGAATATGTGATTGCTCGGCCAGTACTTGCGTACTTCTCTGTGGCCGAGTAGTCGAAAGCTTGACCTCCGGAATGCTGGCTGTAGTAGATTTGCGTGGGCTTGCTGTCTTCGAAGCGGATCATGTTGTGCTCCCAATCTCCGACGTGGTTGCCCACGTTGCCGACGGCTATGTAGTCTCCGCCGTAATCGAATGCGTAGAAGTAGAAGTAGAATACGTCTAATGTATTGTTGCCTTTGTCGACGGTGATGATGGCTGAACTGATGGCATTGTCAGTCTTGCCATTGCTGTCAGGCTTTACGCCGTAGAGGTATTGAGGTCGTGGGTCAGTGGTGGGATCGTAGATGGAGGTGAGATAGACATTCTTGCCATCGCTCGAGTTCGCAAGATTATTCAGATCATTGAGGTTGTCGAGTGTCAGCGTTGATGGTCCACTATCCGCGGAAGTCAAGTTTATGTATGCTTTTGTGTTTGCGAGCTGAGCTCCAATGTCGGAAGGAAAATAAGACTCCGCCGAGAAGAGGTGTACGATTGGTGCATATTTGGTTACATAGTCTGGCACGTCTGATGGTGCTGCTTGTCGTCGTTCGAACGGCACTGCGTGTGCGGTGAGCCCGAAAGCGAGAAGCAATGCTGCCAACATCGTGGCAAGCTGTATCGTGATTTGAGCAGCGACGAGATGGATGGAGCGCGGCTGCAATGTAGTCTATATGGCAACCTGAAGCTGGGCAGCAGTAAAAAGAGCGTACCAGATGTGCATACGAGCCTGAACGGCCGTAGCGACGCGCCGACACTCCTCCCACCTTATGTACATGAGTTCTCTGTACCAGCTGATCCACGACTACGCCATCAGGCACATCGTGCACCTTTTCGTGCACATGTTCCAGCCATGGTACACTCACTGCTCGATCGGCGCTTCTTAGCTTCTAAGTCAGTCGTCATTCAACGGCCGGGGATATGCCCAGAGAGTAGCCGTGATCTTCATGACTTCGAAAGTCAGATGGCGAGTGTGCGAAAGCTATGCATATATCGCAAGAGCCGAACGTGCAGCTTGCTGTCCATATAGATAGATAGTGTAGAAACGCGTGTCCAACGAGATCGCAAAGGTGCCTTGCTGTGAAGTGCAGTGTGCACATCACTTGGTGTGTTCGTCGATCCGGTGACGGTGATGTCGATCGAGGAGGTGCAGAGAGAGAATGAAGTCCGTCGACCACGCCGTTCGGTACGGTAATCTGGTTGGCTGCGGAGAGCTTCCACAAGCTCGGTCAGACGACACTTTCGGCATCGCGTACAGCGCGCCGGAGGAAGCTGATTCACGCATCAAGAACTGTCAACCGTGGTAGATGCGCGCTTCAAGATAATGCCAGGGAGTATAGTCTTGGAGGAATGACGCGCCTGGAGAAGTTGACAGTTTCCCGACTTCGACAGGAACCGAGCCGCGGCATTACCATACGAGATTGGACAATTAGCGAGTAAGTAGACGAGGAGTGTATCCAACACTCCCTCGATGGCATCGACACGTGCGCTGTACACTTTCAGCTCAAACGCCACGCACAAAAACACCCACGACCCACACTATTCCGCACGCTCTCCGTGTTGACTACTTTACACGTTCCGTCCCCAAGACAAAATCTGCGGCATTTAGATGACGAACTGCGCAGCAACGTCAGCATGAGAAGGCGACTATGAACGACGAAGATACTCACCGGAATGAACATGTACGGCACTCTCTTCTCGTACTCAATCCACGCGTCACCGTACTTTTCTCTACATCTCTGCACATCTCTGTACGCACGATGCACTATCATCAGGGCAAAGAAGACAGGGTAGAACCATGGAAAAGGGCTTGAGAATCCAGTGATAAGGCCCCAGTTCAGCGCAAACCACATGTCGGCGGTGTAGTGAATCTTGCGAGCATACTTGAACCAACCATCAACGAGGATGGAATCGCCAGTCTCGGTCTTGATCGACTGTGGGTTCTCCACATACTTCCATGGCAGCTGAGGGAAGGTCTTTCTGTGCTGGTGGTATCCTCTCTCCATGGAACGGAACATGTTCTTCTGGCTATTGCCGGTGTCCCACACCCAGTATGCGAAGAGGTAGGCGGCGTAGAGGAAGAACAGGACCGGCTTTGACCATTGGTACTCGGATGGATGATGGTTGGCCAGGTAGACAGTGCAATGGCAGTAGCTCAAAGGCACACCAGCCAAGTTCCAGAAGATGAGCATGAAACCCCACTTCTCGTAATACATGTCCCAGGTAGTGACGATCATTTCCTCTCCCTTACAGCAGGCGTTGGCATAGAGCCAATGAGCCATCAGGAGAAATCCGACCTCAGCAGTAACATATCCGTAGGTCTCGTACTGGCGGAAAGCTGCGGAAAGGGTAGTGAAGAAAAGGATGAACCATGGAAGGCGGACCTCGAAGAACATTTTGAAATCGAGCCAGGCAAACATGCGTGGGTTGAGCTCGGCGCCCATAAAGAAGTCATAGATGTGGTTGCCAGTCATGCGATGTTGGGCTCCACGAGCGAGAGCAGAGACGTAAGCGATGATGCTGACGATGAAGCCGGTGAAGATGGCGACTGACATGATGGGGCCAAACTCGTCGATCAAGGTGTACATTTTGAAAAGACCGGTGTAGTGCAGGAGCAGAGCGACGACGATGGAGAAATAGAAGCTGTACACGCCATTGCAGTAGTATGTAAGCTGCTTGCCGCCCTCGTGTGGCAGTGGCTTGCCCTTTGCGTAGACTCCAGGCATGAACAGGTAGAGGATGGCTTCAAAGACGAAGAAAGTCCAGTATATGGCCCAGGCCTTTGCATGCGGGAATGCGCCAGTGTATGCGAGATGAAAGAGATGCTTGGCAAATTGGGACCAGGACATGTTTGGCTCAGATGGGAACTTGCCGTCGTAGTAGGTAGCGCCTATCCACATGTACCACATGAGCAAGGGGAATCCAAGCATCATGGCCGATACGCCCAGTGTGCCTCCAAAGTCGTAGTGAGGATCATGGTCGATCTTTGGATCGGAGCCTTCAAGCCAGCCGTCAATGACTCTGGGCTTGAGCGAAGCATTCATGTGTCCCTTGGCATGTCCATTGGTATGTCCGTTGGCATGACCATTGGCCTTCCTCGCGTCGCCATCTGCACATGTGATGTTCTTTTGGGAGACAGCGGTGATTTCTTGTACGGGCGATGGAGAGCGATCGTCTGAAGAAGGGGCGCCAGATTTTCTCGTGGTGCGTCGTCGCGAGCCTGGAGTCTCGACGAAGCCGTCAGGGACCATGGATTTCCTGCACGGGCGGAGTGGTCAGCAAAGGCGAAAAGTTGTTTACATGTGATTTCTGGCCGTACCTGGGCGTTTTGCCGGTCGCGCTGCGCGTAACTCGTCGTTCGGACATGTTGACTCACCACGCAAACGCGCGCTGTATGTCCCAATCTCTACTAAGATATGGATATTCTAGAGTGAGTGATGAGTGCATGCGCATGCGAACAGTGCAGGCGTTGGCGCAAGGATGGTCGCACGTCGCACGATGTGTGCGTGTGCGGGATCTTGCCAATTTCAACGCGCATCCTATTATTTAGCTTTCTGCAAGCACAAGCACGTATCTCGCGCGTGCTAATTGGCTCGGAGTCCGCGGAGCGAAGTAGTGCATTTTATGTATGAACGCGCGCGACCGCGACCGCCTCCACCTCGAGCCTTGCGATCACACTGTCCAGTACGTACGGCATGATAGTAGTAGCGCAGTATCGACGACGACACACAGTCGCAATGCTTGGGCCGAGTCAACCAGCTCAAGCTACGCCAACATGGCAACAACAGTGAGCTGTTGTACACCCCGACAGCGGCATGTGCCTGCTCCTCTCCTGCAATGATATCACAGCTACTATTTTGCTGCTATTGGACTTGTGTAGCTCTCGCACCCATATCGCTTTCTCCTTTGCCACCAACACCCCCAAAATCGCTCTCTGGAAGTGGAAAGATGAAGCTGGACTCCGCAATTGCCAGTCTGCTCGGCCTTGACCCTAACAACGCCACCGTCTCCTCTGCTGGCGGAGGCGGCATGAGCTCAGCACGCACCAGCAAAATAACAGCCAAGCTGGAAGATGGGAAAACGAAGCAATTCTTCATGAAATCGGGCAAAGGCAAAGATGCTGACATCATGTTCACCGGCGAGCATGCTTCCCTCAATGCCATGCACGACGTTGTGCCAACGTTATGCCCCAAATCTTACGGTCATGGCAAGTTTGCTGATATGCCGAACACGTCTTTCCTGCTCACCGACTTCCTCGAACTTTCATCTCGCTTCTCCGGAAAGTCGTCATCTGGCATGTCATTAGCACAAAAGCTGGCCAAGCTTCACACCACGCCAGCTCCAGTGCCGGAGGGCTACGACAAGCCTCAATTTGGATTCCCAGCCACAACATGTTGCGGCGACACACCGCAGGACAACACTTACGAATCGTCCTGGGCAGACTTCTATGCCAATAGGCGTTTGCGCTTCATCATGGAGCAGTCCAGAAAATCAAATGGACCGGACAAGGAGCTCGAGCAGCTGATCGAAAACACCTGTACCAACGTCATTCCAAAACTCATCGGTGACGACCATCTGAATGGAGGCAAGCGCATCACACCGGTGGTTGTCCACGGCGATCTATGGTCTGGAAACGCGTCCACAGGAAAGCTTCCGGGAATGTCAGAGCCTGAAGAACTGGTATATGATTCAAGCGCCGTATACGGACACTCGGAATTTGAGCTTGGTGAGAAGCACACATTTAAGAGCCGTCCAATACTTGAGACTTTTGCTAACCTTCGAACTACCGCTGTAGGCATCATGAAGATGTTTGGCGGCTTCGGCGCATCGTTCTTGAAGGAATATCACGAGCTGGTGCCGAAGACAGAGCCTGTGGAAGAGTACGAGGATCGAGTGAAGTTGTACGAGCTCTATCATCACCTGAATCATCATGCTTTGTTTGGAGGCGGCTACAGAAGCGGCGCCGTGAGCATCATGAGAAGCTTGATTGGGAAGTATGGAGACAGGAGCGAGCTTTAGCGCACCAGCCGATTGTGTCAGAGTCCTCGTCACGCTTCGACAAGCAGCACTGGAGTCATGCCACATAATGCTGGAAAGAGGACTGCCTGGACGTGTGCAGCTATCACCGGAGATGTCGGTGGTCTCCTGCATTTAGACCCAACACGGGTCATGCATGATATCCTGATAGATCATCTAAACGCACGTTAGATGAACAACCCACAGCCCAGTCTTTGGCGATGCAAGCAGACAACGTGCAACGTGGGCAGGGAATGGATCAATTGCAGTATTTGGCGTCGGAATGACATTCGCTCCGCTTCCGTCGCGGTCTGGTTCACAAGATCTTCGAACAATACCCCAAACAACATCTAGAGCAGCGAGCACCTTCGCTGCTGCTGTTCCGTCCAACTCAGTAAATGAAGCTAGTGGTAAGGCCCGCCACACGTCAGCAACAGGATTGCTTACTGGACTCGCGCGCTTCCATGGCTTTGCAAATATTATCGCAATAATGGATGCTGCATTCATTCGCGTCGATAAGTCGATACGTGCTGTAGGAGCACGTTTGTCGTTGCTCCAATCCCAAGGATGCGCGTTCTCGTAGCGGGCCCTGAGCCTTAAAAGCCGCGAAAATAGAGCTGATATGAATCCTATATGGGGACTGCTCGAGTTTCTCCGCTTCGCTTGACCTCGGCCATGTCCCACGCAGCTGATTCTCGCTCACCTTTCGCAGGATTCAAGACGACGAAGTGAACTGGAACCAATCATGCAATCATGCATGAGCTGAAAAGTCACCCCGAACGCCGCTGGTTTCTCGGTTCGCAGCTACCCTGTTACATGTGCAAGCGAAGGATTGCCATGTGTTACGACCTGGGGAGCACCGACTTTTTATTAGCCTCCGAGCTGTAGATAAAGAAGGTGCGACACGAGATTGCTGGCAGCCTTCCCTCGTTCGCACGCGAGAAAGTGTTACAAGTCATCATCAAATCTCGTGCAAGTGAGCGGGTTTCACAGCGAACGACACTTTCGAAGCCATCGACCCTTCCTCCCTTCCAAATCCTTCCGACATCACTCCCTCTTCAAGTCAGCCATCTGAAATCTGGAAAGAATGAGGGTCATCATCGTCGGTGGTGGAATTGCTGGACTGACATTCGCCAATGCTCTCGAGAAAGCCGGCATTGATTTCGTTCTTCTCGAAGCCAGACCTCTTCTTGATCCTCAGGTTGGCGCGTCGATTGGACTTGGACCCAATGCGCTCAGGATCTACGACCAATTTGGAGCTGCTCAAGAGATCATTGATCAGACAACCCCACTGACTTGGACAGTGGGACATGGACGAGACGGTAAAAGAATTGCGCCTCCAGCAGCAGTCTTCCGGCTTCTCGAACCACGACTGGGATATGGCTTCAGCTTCCTTGACCGACAACTTGTACTTCGAGCGGCAGCAAACACGATCAAACAACAAGAAAGGCTCCTACTCAACAAGCGCTTGGCCTCCATCGACCACTTCGACTCTGGCGTCAAGGTCCATTGTGAAGATGGGACTTCATATTCGGGCGACATCGTCGTTGGTTGTGACGGCGTCAACAGCAAAGTCCGATCCGAGATGTGGCGAATTGCCGCCCAAGAAGATGCCACCTTCTTCACACACGAAGAGAAAACGAGACTTGGGGCAGAGTTCACCTGCTTATTCGGCATAAGTCATCACGTGTCGGGTTTTGACCACGAAGGTCAGGCATGGCAGACGTACGACAAAGGCAAGTCATTTCTCCTGATTACTGGGAAAGACTGCCGACTTTACTGGTTCTACTTTCAGAAGATGGACAAGCTGTACAAAGTCAGTGATGCAGACTTTCCACGATTCACCAAGAAAGATGCCGAAGATGTAGCAGCGCAGACGAAACACCGCAAATGCCATGAATGGGCGACGTTTGGCGATATCTGGGACAAGCGGATCAGCTACACGCTTGTTCCGATGGAAGAAGCTCTGTTTGACAAGTGGTCTTGGGGACGTATCGCCACCATTGGCGACAATGCTCACAAGATGACTGCGAATCATGGACAAGCGGGGAACAACGCCGTTGAGTCGGCTGCTGCCCTCGCCAATCAGGTGAAGAGACTGCATGATGCGGGAAGCAACGATGTCGGGTCCATCACTCGCGCCTTCCATGCGTGGCGAGATAAACGGCGTGTGCGCGTCGAAGGCACATGCAAGGAAGCCGCATTGGTGTGCAGAATGCAGTCGCTGGACAACTTCATGGCGTACGTCTTCGAGTTCTGGATGGTCCCGCTGCTCTCTGACATCGTCATCAACATGCAAACGGACAACATTCGGGGCGCTGAACTGCTTGAGTGGCTCCCTGTTCCCGAACGTTCGATGAGCGGCAACATGCCTTTCAACCAGTACCAAGGCGTCGGCAAGAAAGAGAGCCTCCTCTTCCGCGCACTGAAAGCAAGCCCACTGCTGCTGCTCTCTGCTTTCGTCGCCCATCACACGGGCGGTCACAGTCTTGATCGGCACATGTTGCAACTACTCCAGCCTACAAGGACACGTGATGATGCATGGTGCGCAGCTTTCCTCTTCATGACCAATGAATCACTCCTATACTCCATCTGGCTCATCGAAAACCATCGTCGCGCGAACCGCGTGGCTCCAGCGCGTCTCGCATGGCTTTTCGGCATTTTCGCTTCGACATTCGGCTTCGGAGTCATCACACCCATCTGGTTCTTCTTCCACTACATCTTCTCGGCAATCGAGCACTACGCTGCCGGAGACATGAGATTGACAGACTTGGCGTACACGAGGACCATCATGCCCGTTAGGATCGGGTTCGTGATCCTACCTCTGATGCTCAAATATCTCGCATTCGACATACCCATTGCTCCGGATGTCTGGTATTGGATGTGGGTATTTTCTGTCCTTTCCATTACAGCCATTCAGACTACTTTGGCGAAGACTGGGATCAGTAAGGACACGATGCAACATGATGCACTTCATAACTGCTTGGCCGACCTTCCGACACTGCGCTTGGGCATGTATACGATGGCACTGAGCTCGACCGTCGCTTGGATCCTTCCTAAATTCGTCATCACCAGTCATGCTGCATCGGACACGGACGACCTCCTCTACTTCAATCGTATCGGCACGTCTGCTTCATCCGTCCTCTGGCTCTCGATGCTGTTCCTGGACCTGTATCAAGCTGGAATGCTACAAATCAACATGATGTGTCTCGCAGTGATGGGAGGTTGTGCAGCGGCTGGCGTGCCGATTCCAGCACTTGTCGCGGTTGGCTTCGCGTGGCGCGAACAGATTCTCGCGACCAAGCGTGCAAGATTTTCCATCACCAAGGACAAATTCTCTGGGAAGTCAGTGCTGGAGGTTGAGCCCGAAGCCATCGCTCAGCCAGTATCGGCGCACCCAAAAGTACCCATTACCTCCAATGGACACGTGGAACAGTCGGCCAATGGCTCCGCGAAGGGAAGTTTTCGTCAAATGTGAGGAGAGGAGTACGGTGATGATGATTGGAAAAAAAACAAGAACCAGATTTTCTACGATAGCTAGCTATCACATACATCTCCTCTTTCACTGAAAATGAAAGCTGTGATGATGATGACTCTTTGATGATGCACGATAGAACACTTCCCATACATCTCCTGTATGTACTGTACAACCCACCAAAATTACGCTTGCTTTCTCTGTTATTGATCCGTCTGTCCACTCATCTATCCCCTCTGACTGGCACATACCACCAGTGCTGACTGACCTCTTACAAAGCAAAAGCAGCCCCAAGAGCCAAAGCAGCCACACTCATAAACAAAACCGGCTGCGCCCCACCACTCGCAGCACCTTCCTGACTATCGCTCGAATTCCCCGAACTCGTACTCGAGAAATCCGCATCCTGCGCCTCAGTCGTAGAAACTCCATCACTAAGATCCGGCTTCGTCTCCGAAGGCGTTCCATGCCACTGCGACCCATCACCCTCCAGCCCGGGTCCCTCACCGGCTCCATCCTCAAAGTACTTCTTCGCACCGGTTGGCATTTCCGGGAGGAGAGTAGTACTCACTTGCCACTCGTCTGTTTCCGGAGGACAAGCGGGTACGGTGCGAGTCTTGCGTGCTCCGCCATCACCTTCCGGGACAGGAGTGTTTTCATAAGCGGTTTTCAAACGGGAGAAATCTTCGTTCGGGACGATTTGGCCCTTGGACATTTGTACTAATCCGTAGCCGTTGGCTTCCAAGGTGTATTCGTAGGCGAGACCTCCCGAGTAGGCGATTGTCATGTTTGTGGAGTATAAGGCGGAGACTTCGTTCCAGTCGCGACGGTTGGTTATGCAGCCGAATTCGGAGAGGAAGAGGGGGAGGGAGTAGTTTTTGTAGGTTTGCACTTTTTTGTCCCAGCCCGATTGCGTGAAGGAGGAGGGGTCGCACCAGGAGTAGTCGTTGAAGGCGAAGAAGTCGGAACGCGCGATTGCGTCTTCTCCGCAGGCGAAGTAGAGGGCTTGGGATTCGATGTTTTCGGCGATGTCGGCGGAGGAGTAGCCGACTGGGATTTCACGCGAGGCTTGGGCGCGGATGTAGTTTTTGATGTCGCGGGTTACGGCTTTGACGTAGGGGGCGGCGTTGGTGTTGTTGTTGGCGTTGATGACTTCGTTGGCGGAGAAGAAGAGGAGGAGGTTGTCTGGGTGAGTGTCAGTCAGTGATGGAGAGTGTAATGGGAGGGTATTTTTAGACTTACTGTATCCGGCAAAGGCATCAACGGTAGCGAAGACAGATTGAAGGTAGACATCGTTGTATGACGTGTGCAGTGAGCTGACAGACTTGCGGTTGAGCGAGTATTCTGGTGTGTTGACATCGAGAGCGAGGTAGATGCCTGCGTCATCGAGCAACTTCATAGCCTCGTCGTGGTTCTTGCTGTTGTCGATGGTGTAGATTCGGATGGTGTTGATTCCCAACTCCTTGAAGCGTTTGACGTCGTTTCGGAATGTGTCCATGTCCATCATTGGGTCTGCAGCATCTGCAGCTCCACCGGGCTGGTAGGCCACACCACGAACGTAAAATCGGTCGCCATTGTCCTTCCAGAAAGCATTGCCTTCACTCTTGATAGTCGGCAGGCTACCGGATTGACGAGCAATGATTCTGGCGCTGACTGCAGATGCCAGCGACGCGACTGCCAGAGCCGCGGTGCCGATTGTGCCCTTCATGGTTGGTGTTGTGCTCGTGTCGATTCGTGGGTATTGCAGCGAGTGACTCTGAGTAAGGTAGTAAAGAAACAACGAACGTTAAAATGGCGTAAAGGGCAAAGAAGGCAGAGGAAAGGCAAGGACGCAGTCAGGAAAGCAAGATACCGCGTGTGGCCCCATTCTTCTTATTTGGGTGAGCGTGATCGCCAAGTCCCAAGAGATCCAAGAGGCATGGCAGGAGTACTGAAACGAGCTGCTCCAAGTCGAATGGCTGGGCGCGGCGCATTCGTCAACATATCAGAACCAAGCTTCCGCGTGCATCAGAGACGCGACGAGCAACTCTCTCTTTCTATCTCCAGACCTCTTTTGCTACACTGCATTTCACGGCTGGACTCGTCCTTCGATATACCAAGTCGGTGAGCTTTTGACTCTGGCGAAGGTGGTGTCGTCGTCGGTGGAAGTTATGAGCATCTCGGCGGCAGGTGCATCTCGGCAGCAAAGGATGGCCGTGGCGTGCCCTCTGTCTGACGCTGACGTTGAGCTGTGCCGCTGCTCTGCGCGCTACAGCGTTTGTGCAGTGTTCGTTCGTGTATCGCATGTAGGAGACGGAGGCTTGGTTTCTTCGGCAAAGCGAAGCAGTGGAGGTCGGCGCAAATGAGGTCTTGGCGATCGGCGGCAGGGGTATGCTCGGCAGTGGCAAAGTGGGCGCTTTCTTTTTCAACCACTGCTCCATTTCGGTCTCCCACTGACTGCAACAACACCATCGATCATGTTTGCTCTCGCCTCATTGTTTGAGTGGTGCCCGTCCGCTCGGCATGACACTCGTCTCGAATTGCACCGCGTTGGAGAGGCTTATCAGGCGATGGAATGGCAAGCAAACTATGTCCTGCATTGTGCTTCGGGCACCACCCATCAACCAAGGGAAAGCAAACCGTCCCTCCGGAGTATCGGCATGTACATTGTTGACATAAACATACGCAGTCGTCTCCTTTGAGCTGTACGGAAGCCTCGTTTAACCTTCTCGAGCAGCTCATGACGCTTGATCTGCTCCTCCAATATCACAAGAATACGCAGGCGATAGAGGACCTATCCAAGATCGATGTACAAGTCGAAGCACAAGGCGAGAGGTGAGTAGTGAGAGGAGTAAGCTAAGCTTCCTTCTTTCACTTCTACTGTCGTAGTAGGCTATAGACTCGCTATTCGCAGTGTGGCGCATATACATATTATATCCGACGTCTATAGGCCACTTGGTAATTTTGGCATCGGCTATGTGATTAACTTCAACCTTGATCCCCTTAACCGCCTCCGTGGGTAAGTCCGAAGAACTGCTGTATAAGAGAATCCTCGTTTTCAACTTTTGCCGGTGAACCCCGACAGCCAACGAGTTAATCAAGGGGATGGCATGCATGTTCAACAACAAGCTTCACTTCATTCCGTACAGGCCTTCACCTTGCAAGACTCCTGTCAAGCCAAGGCTCCGGAACAGCGCTACTGTACCGTACCGTATTCTCAGCACGCCAGGGCCAGGCGTCCTTGATGGCACACCTACCGGTATTCTAGATCAGTAGGAGTGAGAAGGAACGACTGCTCACACCCGTTTCGCTGCGTCTCGACTTCCACATCATCCGAGATGCTGTCGCGTGGCCTGGCCGATGCGAACACTTGAACCTAGTTTATTCTATGCCTTCCTGACTTTGATCACCACAAGCAATCCGGCTTCCCTTTCCCTTTCCAGCCTTTCGACATGAAGCGAGAAGTCTCTGCAAATTTGCCAACGTCTCGGCGAGACTTCGTGCCTCAAGATTTCTGGTGTCGTTAGAACCAGCCAATTGGGGCATCTGCCATGTTTCGAGCCGCCCTGGGATCCCTAGTCCACGGTTATGCGAAGCCTTCCGCGATCAAAGATGCGCCGTGACGAACCTTTCTGCCGGTGCGGTGCTCATGCGAACCTTCCTTGAGCGGCGAATGTTTCGTATCATACCGGTATCATGGTATCATACCGCACACAATGCACGGCAGATGGCAGACGGCAGACGGCAGACGGCCAGTTGCAACATGACCTCTAGAGTCCACACGGCTCATCATCCTCAGTGAATCTCTCCACCGACTTGCATGAACCGTGCCTGGAGCCACTGGTGGACATGGAAAAGCATCCCTGCCAGGAACGTGTATTCTGGTTGTTGCTTTCCAGTTGCGGCAACGTGCTAGGCCACCATTGACTTCACATGCTCAGGGGGCCAACAATGTTGCCACTACTCTTGTCCTTGCTCGATCATCCAGTTGGGGAGAGTCAATCATATGTATAGAACAAACACCCCTAGGTATCTGCTTCCAGACATTAGTTCCGCGTTCAAACATCACGACATGCCTCGCTGTTCGCTTGCCGCTTGCTGAAACCTGGAGCACTGCACAATAATGGTCATCGACCTCGGTATCCTGTGATTCTGTCTGCTTCATCACTGCAACGATTAGCTTCTCCTGCACTCGGCAAAATGGTGGCGAAGTCATTGGAGGAACTACAGTACGAGCTTCTGTCAGCGCCACACTATCATGCACACAACAAACGCCTCATTTCTGCACGAAACACCAACGCTCCGACATGCGACACCACGATCGAGGAAAAAGTCCTGTTTCCTAGCTACTCCACAGACATTGGTCCCATCTCCACCGACAACATTCTAGCCGTTCTCCGAGACCAGCTATGCAACAACACAGCATGCAACGCGCCGATCGGCATCAAGTCTGGTGCCATGGTCGTTGCCAAAGATGACGAATACAGCAAATGTGAAATCTCGATCGGCTTGACAGATGGCGTGGAAGCATATGCATACCGGCAAGGCAGCCCCGAGGGACATGCCAAAGACGAATGCACACAGAGCTTCAACAGCATGATCCAAATCATCCAGGGTCAAGTAAAAGAATGCTATCTTGTCGGGTATGCCGTTTCATCAACACCCATACTCGTAAAGTCCAGCTAATGACATTCATACACTAGATCCCAACAAAACCACGTCTACCAAGCCGGTTTCCGCGCCTTAAACGCCCACAACGCCAGCGCCCTGCACATCTCCCAGGGCAAAATCATCCAAGACACCCTCGCGTCAGACACCAAAGTGCCAGAAAGCAACTCAACCTCACAATACCACGACTCCGTCTTCAACGAGAAAAGTTCCCCCGACTCCAAAACTCCCATCTATGTCGGCTCCGTCATAGGCGTCATCGCCTTAATCGTCATCACCGTCACAAGCGTCTGCTGCTACAGAAAGAAGAAAGCCAAGAAGAACAAGCGCCGCCAGAGAAGCGGCAGTCAAGGTAAGAAGAAGAGAGCGACGAATATGAGTAGTACTCTTGTCGGTTCGGAGTCGGGAAGGAGTTGGAGGGCTGCTGAACAGGTCTGAATTGTATCCTTCTTCTCCCTTCAGTCTTCTGAATATATACAGATTTGGTTTTGTTTTTTTTTCTCTGTATTTCAGGCGAGGCATTTGTGTTGTGGTGGCGTTGGTTAGGGTTTATTATATCCGCTGATGTTTTATTTTTCTCGTCAGCAGGTGCCGGCGGCGTTGAGCTTTCGGGTTCGCGAATTCGGCGGATCGAGGCTTGGATTCATACCAATACGGCCACTAGCAACAGCATGACGAGGAGTAGATAGAGTATAAGTTCTGCTGGAAAACTTTTTCGCACTTTTTATGAGATGCTTTTGAAAATTTTTTGATGCTTTTGGTAATATACCTAGGTATTAATTTGATGACTACGGTGAGGAGAGAGAGAGAGAGAGATGACTGTGTTATGGATGGGGGCTTAAGGATGGCTTTTTATGATATATGTCTGTTTCAGCGAAGCGTGTGATACTAATTTTTAACTTTTAATGCGTAATGTATAGCAGCAGCATATTTGTGCTGACAGAGGCGAGGGACAGGACACAGGGGAGGGAACGAACGGAGGTGATGATAGGCGGGCGTCATATGAGCAGTGAGCTCTGCTGCTGAAAAGAGTGATCAGCGCTGCAGAGCGTTGTCCTCCTCGCCAGCTGCTTCTTCTACATCATTCACGAATTCAGTGTACATTTTCCGTCTCTCTTCCGGGGTGCGACTCTGACTATGTGCTGCTTTCAAGGTGATTGCCAAGTTTTTAAGTTTCCTCTGAATCTTGGCAGGTATACGCTCAAGCTTCAGACGCAAACTTCCTGCTCATCGTCGCCATCGCGCTTTCGAGTTCTTCGATTCGAGCGTGGAGTTTCTCTTTTTCGAGGCTGAGCTTTCGTAGGTGTTGGAGTATACCGCCGGAAGAATCTTGTGAGCCGAAGGGAGATACGCCGCGGAGTTGGACGTCTGTAGATGCTGAAGCTTCATTTGCTTCGTTGATATGTGGATGAACTCCTTGCAATGCTTGAGGACCTGCTTTCACAACAAGAACTTGGTCTGAAACCAGCGGTTGAAGGTTGCTCGTCGTCACTTCGGATGTCGTCTGGCTCATGGAAGCTGATTTGACGGTCGCAGAGTCGTCTGACTTTGTGATACCAGAGGACCGGAGATGTCTTCGTGAAATGTTGGAGGAAAAGAAGCATCCCATGGGAAGGAGTCAAAGCCCACGTTGTAGCCCTGTTGACTTGCCATCGCTGTCGGTGTGGACACAGGGATGCCGTTCTCGAGAGACATTACACGTCCTAGGCCCATGCGTTCTTGCGACCATTGTCCCGGACACTGTGATCCTGTTGTGCATGGCGAGGCTGTGTCCGATTCGAGGTCATGCTTAATTCCTTTTGGCGTTGAAGGATATTTGAAACACAGGCAAGAGCCTGGCTGAGGGTGGAAGAGTTTGGATTTTTGTACAATATCATCAAGCCCCGTTACCACTGCGGCATCAGGCTTGGAATTTCCTTTAGATCCCTCTAGCAGCGCCTCCGGCAGAGCGATGAGCAGCCGAGCCAATGCAACCCTTTGCTCCTTCGATGCACATGTACATACTATACAATGGTCTCGCGACCTTTTCCTTACACGCTCGCACTCTCGCCCAGTGACCAGAGCACACTCTCATATACACCAAACATGATCGCCGCACTCGGTACGACTCTCAGCATATGCGGCACCAGGCCTCCATACAAGCTCGCCATGCCTTCTTCCCGGAAGACAGTGACAAAACAAGACCAGAGTCCAGTATACTTCACCCTCCCGCTAGCATCGACCGGCGCCTGTCGTAATCTTGTCCTCACAACCTCATGCGGATACGTGATGAGTGCAGCAACAAACTTGGCCCCACCAGCAGCAGTCAACTTCCCCGTCCACGCCACAGTCTTATCCCACACATTTGGTGTCCTCCCACTCGCCGCCAAGTCCTCTTCCCTCCTCTTCAAACTACCCTTCGCCTGCTCATAAAGCACCCACTGCAGCGTACTTTCACTCACACCAAGATAACTCGCTGTCAACCCTCGATACAATCCCTTGATGCCCTCATGTCTCACAGTCTTCACAATGCAATCCACAGCGTTCTTGTACTGCCTCCCCACCCCTCCAGGCCCAGCATTCTGTTTATCAAGCTGTAACCTCGTTTTCACCAACCAAATCGGATTCGTAGCAGTACCCGTGATCATCCCCGCAGTGGCTGCGGCCAATAAATGTACACCCGCACTCTCCTTTCCCCCAAAGAACATCTCAGAGTACACCCGCTTCCCATTTCCATACGCCCAGAAATTGATCGCGCGCGCGGGTACCACGCCTATGAGATTCGGTCCCAGTCCCTTGAACAACGCTCTCCAACCCTCGATCTTTGGGATTGAAGCAAGGATTTGCCCTGTCTCGGAAATATGTAGCCATGAAGCACGTAACGGAGACATTTGCGAGGGCGGAGGTATCCCTTTGGCGATTCTTCGGGCCGAGAGTTCGTTTTGATAGAACGTGGATTGTAGGCGGGTTTTCAAGACGTCTAAGGGTGATGTGAGCGTTGCTGCTGTCATGCCTCCCATACCGCCGGCGACGAAGTGCGCCCATGGTCGGCGTTCTCTGAGGGGAGGTTGTGCTATCGCGATTCCATCTTCGCGGCTTTGGAGGTCTGCTTGCCCGAGTTCGCGGCTTTGAGGGAAAGGTGGAGGGGGAGATATCGTGCTGGCGTGAGAAGGCACGCTTGATGTGGCAGAAGTTGCGACCATGCGATCGGTAGGCGTGGGATCTTCGTCGTGGTGTTGGCCGTTTGCTGGAGTTGTAGGCTTTTATGGCTGGCTATCGCGTCGAGAATATATAACGAGTGGTAGATGCTAGGTCTCATGCGCTTTTCTTCGACGAAAACGCGATTTTGGTCGATTTCGATGCTCCCAGCCAATCGCATCGCTTTCCGGCCGAGCAGCGATCTCGGGAGTGCTGAACGTCACGATTGCTTGGTCGATACTGTACCACGGCAACATTCACTCATTTACTTCCACCTGTGCATATTGCTTCGACAGGAAGCTGCAATGTTCGCACCTACGCCATGCCGCCTGGCAGGCATGCCTGGATTCTGGAAACGTTCCATGGACGAATTCAAACGCCAGGCCAAGATCGCCGTCAAGATGGAGGGCCTCCACGTTCCTACAAAACCATATCCATTGAGCAAATTCGAGCAGCCGGCCTCAGTCGATCAATGCAAAGTCATGTGCGATAGCGATGTGGGAGGCTTCAGCAAGGCAAGCTTGACGTTCGTGGGCGGAGCACCACACAGCGAGAAGTTGCCGGGTGCCGCAGCAGAAGAAGAGGGCGACAAGGCGGGAGCTTTGGTGGAAGCACGAGAACCGGCACATGCACTTTTCAAGGGCACAATATCGACAGAGCTGCCGCCCAACAAGCCGAATATTCAAAGATCAGGATATGCTGGATGGCGCACGAGAGACCGAGGATTCTCGTTGTTCGGCAAGCTACTATGGGACTTGTCACCATACGCTTTCCTTTCGCTGCGGATACGAAGTGATGGGAGAAAGTACTTTGTCAACTTTCAGACGGAGTCGATCGTACCTACAGATCTGCACCAGCATCTATTGCCTAGTTATACACCCGGCCAGTGGGAGACTGTGACGATCCCATTTAGTGCTTTTGTAAGAACCAACTACGGCCAGGTCGTGGAACCGCAGCGAGAAATGATGAGCACAAAGGTGCGCAGTGTTGGGATCAGCTTGATCGACCGAGTACCTGGACCCTTTGAGCTTGCTATTGCAGATGTTTATGCCACCAACAGGCCGCCTGCCAGAGAGGTCGGCCGTGAACACAGCGGGTTCGAGCTTGGCGATGAGCCTGAGGAGCAGAGGGGTATCATGGATGAGATTGAGCCTAGACCGAAGAAGGGAGAGCCGGAAAGGATCCTCATATAAGTCCAGCAGTATATCGGGCACCACTGGAATATGACACAGTAGGCTTGCGCGTCGAATTTGCTGGAAAGAATTTCCCAGGCCCGACTCGTCGCTATTGCCAGTGCTGAGCATGTCCGTGCGTCTAATACTCTTTGATGACCACGCGATCGAGGTTACAGATACGGGATATCTTTAGATGCTCCTTTACAACGCTGCTGGGCACGAGATGGCAAGCACAAACGTGCGGAGTCTTTTTAGAAGCCTCTCTAGTCCCGCCGACACCTTCCATCTGTCATGACTAGGCCATATCTCAACAATGCTATGGCAGAGCTACAACTCTACCGAACACACCTGCTTGCCAAATGGCTCAATGCTCTCCTTGTTCTTGCCGACCGAACATCGAACAATAGACTTAAGGCTGTCTCGCAGTAGAACGGACGTTGACCGAGACATAGCTCAAGTAAACTGCTGTTGCGTGTGCCGGAAGTGATCAAATCTGAGACCTATTGCAGTCTTCAATATGTCTTGCCCTCGCAAGACCTTCGATGAGTGAAGCAGACTAGTTTGCGTCTGGCAGCTATCCACACCATAAATGCTGCATCTCCTCAGTGTTCAGCAGACAACAACCTCCAAGTTTTCGACTCTAGTGCTTTCGCTAGCACCTCAACAGCCAGATACTGTGCCCGCTCCACGAACCACACAACATTCAAAGCTCTCATGGCAGACCGAAAGCGCCGTTTATCAACACACCCTGAAGAATCAAAAAGTGCAAAGCGACAAGCATCTGATGCGCAGCAGTACCTGCCTCAGGTCAAATCGCAAGTCCTTAGTGCTCCAGATCTGGGCGCTGCTCTCGTCAATGCAACCCGAACACCAAGAAACCAGACAAATGCTATTGCAAGGTCAAGTCCAAGATGGGACTCCAAGTTGCGTGCGGATATTCGTCAGGCGGCTCAATCCAAGCCTCGCTTCTTGTTTCGAGCTATCTTGGTAAACAGCGAAGACTTGGCGGAGTTCTCAGATGATGGTGAGCTCGTGCCGAGCATAGTCGGCCAGTACGACGAGACCATCGAGGACTTCTATTCTAATCCATTAGAAGACATGACGGAGATCTGGTATTGCAATCCCGCCTATGAAGCCTACTTCACGAAATGGACACCGTCGATGTTCAAAGCAATCTCAAAGGCCTTGTATATGCTCAAAGCAGATGGCGCTGGCTACGACGTTCACTTGGCCACTCTGGACACCAAGCGGTTATCGTCAAGCAATCTCACTGTCGGCCGAGCTGCTCTCCAAAATGCGTTCAGTGGTTATCTAGCTGGCATCCCGGTTAGCTCATCTTCTGCATACCTGGTGTATGGCATCATCAGTCAAGAAGCCTTCTGTACTAGACCCCTCAAAGCACTGAACAACAAACATGTCGCTTCTGGGCTGGGTTACAAACTTCATCACCGGCCACTTAACATTCTCAAAACTTCACTGCACAACGCGAGTCCAACCTTGGTTATAGACATTGCAAGAGAGTTTGGCAAAGTCTTTGATGGTGATGGCTTTGCGCTACCGGCCACCGTCATGGCTATTGCTACGCTTTGCCACGACCGAGATTCATCGTGGCCCGATGAGGAGAGCCTCTCGGCAGAGATCGTGACGGCTTTGCAGGATTTTCCCATTCAGTCTGACTGGAAGCACGATTCGGCCATAATGACAATGGAAACGCATACCTTTGATCAAGCAGCTGACCGCGGACTGAGATTGCTACGCGCACTAGCAGACCGGCGCGCTATGGGACATGCTATGAGAGCCCCGTCGGTGAATGCAACGGATCTTGAAAACTTGAGCCATGGAATATTACAGGTCAAGTTGGCCGCCGACATGGCTTTTGACCAATCTGTTGCGACTCACGATAGCACTTCTGACTACGAGCCTGTGTCTCCTTCATCAATCGTTCCTGAGGAATTTCAGTATACACGCGATGATCCGGCTGAAATCGCGAAACTTTTACCCGCGGGTTCCATGGATGACGAGACCAAACGACATCTACTGAAGGCGCAGAAGTATACTCCTCGCTACTTGTTCAGAGGATGGAACAATGGCTACAGACCATCAGGTGGCCACAGAGGTTTGAATACGGTCGATGCAATCACCCCCCTTGCGTATCTCAAGGACCGTGAGGCTGGTACATCAAGTATCTACAATCTGTCGCGAGATCAGCTAAGAACCATGTGCTTTCGGCATCTGGGATCAGATAGGACCGCCTCATTCAAGACCGAGCTGTCATCCTGGGCATCCTCGCTGCGGGTTGCCATGTTATACTCAAGAGGTCAGCCTGATTCCTACATCAGCATCATCGACACCAGGGCGCTTCAGGAGCAGAACATCATCGTTCATGTTCCGCAGCTTGGTTTTTTGCTGTTTCCGGGATCGGACGGCATCTACTATCCTGAGGAATACCTGGCCCACGGAGTTATCGAGGGGTCTGCTCATAAGGCCGTGCCACTAGAAGCGTTCACCAAGATTGGCATATGTCAGACTTCTCCCTGGCTTGGAATCTCGCACATCACGGCCCAAGAAATCATCTATGCCAAGACTGTAGCAGATCAATATGGCCCAAGATTTGGTACAGCAGTACTGATAGCCATACTTTGCACCGCGGAGCGGAGTTCGGATCTTTGGAAGAGTGGAATTGCTCCTCGAGATCTAACACTCATCGCTTCAGCTATCAGTGCGTACAAAGTCCCGCAGCGACTGTGCGCCGATGATACGATCTTGAAGGACCTGGTTTATACTAAAGGTTTCAGTGATGTGGAGCAAATGATTCGCCTGCTGCGTGCGGTCGTCGACTGGCGCCACGGTAAAGGTGCTCGTGGCCGGAAGCAAATCGCCAAGTGGGAGGATTCAGCTTCGCTGCTGTCAAGACCTTCCGCTGATGCTGAGGAGGATGCACCACCGAAAGAGCATCGCAAGAGACGTTCAATGAGGCGCTCACGGAAGTAGACGGCCTGTCGTACATCTGCTGCTGTAAGCAAGGATCGTCCCTGCACGCTAAGCTCTGATGATAGGAATACAATGTCATGCAGGTACCTGTCACATGACGCACGTTCATGTCTCACTCATCCTTGCGTCTAATAGCATACAGTCAGTGATGTGGATTCCTTGTGTGCTCGATGAAGCTGGTCGAAGAGCATACGAATCGATAGCGCCGAGATTCCCAACCGCCGAAGCCTAGCCCAGAACATGCCGCACCACCTTGGCTGTTCTTGCTACGATCGTTTCCAGTTCTTGCTTCGTGCAGTTGTAAGCAGGCGCCAGCATTATCACGTCGCCATTCGTGCCGTCTGCCACGCCCGCGCCCGGGAGGATGGATATTCCAAAGCCTTCCTGCAAACCAGTCGCATGTATCATGGATGCCACTTGCTTCGAAACGGGGAAAGGAGCTTTGCTACCTCTATCCTCAACCAAATCGATCTGGGTCAAAAGGAGTTACCAAATGAGCAGGAATCACGAATGAAAGCCGACTCACGCCCCACATGAAACCACGGCCTCGAACATCCCCAACATTCTTGTGCTGGCCGGGTTCGTCACGGAGTAGCTCGCCAAGATATGGCCCACGCTCTCGCACATTCTCAATCAGCTTCTCCTCTTTGATGACTCGTTGGACTTCGAGCGAAGCAGCACAGGCGACCGGATGTCCTTGATGCGTTTGACTGCGTACGAAAGTCTTGCTTCCGGCGTCGAGAGCGTTCACGACACTTCTGTGTACCAACAGTGCCCCGATTGGCTCATAGCCTGCGCCCAAGCCTTTCGCCACAGTTTGGAGATGAGGAACCACATCCTCGTTCTCCCACGCGTGCAATCTTCCCGTTCTCCCCATCCCACTCATGACTTCGTCAAGAATGAAGAGCGCGCCATACTTGTCACAGACCGGCTTCATAGCTTTCAGGTAGCCAGCCAGGTGCGGGAGGCACAGCACCAAGTGTCAGCCCCGACATACTCTGGCCGAGCTAGTCGCCGATTTTGTCGTGTGCCTATCGTACTTTGGTCGTGCATCTTCTCAGTCGGTAGCAAACACCAATGCAGACCAGATTGGATGCAAAAATATATGAGATAGAACAAGAAGAGTGATGAACAGATGTACAGTAGCTCGTTCGCAAGATGAACTCCATTTTGCAGCTCAATTCTCTAATGCTCCCGTGAAAGCCGGATCTGGATCGACCCAGTGCTCTCTCTCAACTCCTTTCATCCATTCGACAGGACTCATGAAGTCGACGAAGCCGATATTTGGACTTGATAGATGGAAGCCCATCTTGCGCTGAATTTCTAAAGACCACGAGAGCACTTCGTCCCTGGAGTGAATAAGATACTGGTTTTCTTCTGAACGCAGAACTCCGCGGGAGAAGAAGATGCCATGCATCGGCCGGTTTTGGTCCTGCGTGACGTTGGCGCCGCCGGCGTGATACGTGCCTCCGAGCATGCAGTAGCAGTCGCCTTTCTCCATCGTCGCATAGGTGACCTCTTCCACCTTGGGCCACCTTTCTAGACCCCAGAGATGCGAGCCTGGGATCACTTGGGTCGCGCCGTTCTCAACCGTGGTTTCCACTCCGGGAATCAGGAATCCCATACTGACGTCCGAGCCGATATGGTATCCTGAAGCCGTCTGGTCGAAATGATCGGCATGGAAGTTCTTGTCATCTCGATGCTAAGGTTCAGCAGCTGTCAGCCGAAATCCCAGCCGCCCTAGAATACACCACTGCACAACGGGTTTCTTCCTTACCAAACGCTGCGCCTTGCCTCCCGGTCGGTTCTCGATAGTTAAGGATATGTGCACCACCGGATGTGTCGTATAGCAATGCTTCTCAGCACCATAGTAATTGTAAGTGGTTTTCGCCAAGAAGAGCTCCGTAAGGTAATCGATCGAAGGGCTAAGAAGCCATTTCTCTCGGACTGTCTGGCTTCGGGAGATGAGACGAGGACATCTGCGAGTCTCTGGCGGAAACATGGCGCCTATCCAAGGCTTGTCACTCTCGAGAAACGGACGCACATCCTCATTGACTTTGTCCACCAATTCAGGTCTCGTAAAGTTCTGAATGATCACTGCGCCATCCTTAACGATAGCGTCTTTCAGGCCTTCGAGATCCGAGGCGTCGACCCGTTGCAATGGCCGCACAGCTGGTGCTTGGGATTCCATGGTGCTCTGCAGCGATTTCGAGAATCAGATGTCTGAGTCTGACTCGAAAAGCTGCTGCTTGAGAGCAATCGGGTCCGGTTGAAAGGAGCTATCCCTGGCCTTTCTTATCTGCCGCAGCGCGGCCAAAGCAAAAGCTCGCACCGGCTTGCCTCAGGCCGCTCCTGATTGTCCTTCATTCACCCCAGCTTGGACACCGTAAGGCACGCATGGCAAGCCAGAGTTGAAAAGTGTCATTACTTGGCTGCGTGACTTATCGCTCACGCAAATTCAATTGGGACGTGAGCGCAATACATGACTTCAACGATCGTGAACAGTGCCTTGAATTCATGTTCTATTTTGCATCGATCTTCTGCCTCGAGCCTTCCATCTTCATCTTCCATTGGATCGTCTTGCAAACGGAATACAAGAACGAAATAGTAGGCATCGGTACGCCCAGCTTCTGAGCAGTCTTCAACGGTTCGCCAAGAATGTTCTCATACTCGATCAGGTTTCCCTGGAATATGTCAGTACTGTCTTTGTTCGGACTATATTGACGCAACAGGTGACTGACTCTTCTCAGATCTTCGAGCATGCTAGGCACGTAGTGCATTTCAATGGGATCAAAATTCAGACATTTATCGGCGATATCCTCTGGCAGTTCGTGTCCCGCAGCAGCAGCACATGTTCGAATCTCTTCCATTGCAGGTCGGACCAGCTTTTCGACCGCATCATCTGCAAGACGGACACTGCCTGTGTCCATTCCGGTGATGGCACAGATGGGGTTGAAGGAAGCATTGTAGACGAGTTTTCGCCACCTGCTCCGAGAAACATCATCATCGTAGGCGCATGTAGCCTTCCCGGCTGCTAAGTAGACTTTGCAGAAGTGGAGAGCAGTCTCGACGCCAACTTGTTCTGGCATCCGTTGTCCAGGAAAGACTCCGATCAACGATGAGTCGTGTCCGATATGTCGAATCACTCCGGGTTCGATCTCTCGGGAGCCCATCATGCTTATACCGGAGAGGATGACATTTTCTGGGAATGCTGAGATGAACGGCTTTTCGATATTGAGGCTGTGGAAGTTGAGAAGCAAGATTAGAAAGCGTTCCTGTGCTCGGCAAGTTTAATTGCGCACCCATTTTGCAACAGCAGGATAGATGTGGTGCTGTGTGTCACAGCTGGCCGCACTATATCGACGAGTGCCGGCCCATTGCCAGGTATGTTCTTGGTAGCAAGTATCAAGAAATCAAATTTCCTTGCATTATCTTCCGCAGCATTTGGCACATTCTTGAGGACTGTGACCATGTCAGCTGGCTTTCCTAGAAACTCTTTCAGCACATGTACCTTCGGTCGGCCTCCAACCCGAAATACTTCCATGGTCTGGTGACTCAATACTATATCCATGTGTCTTTACATGCTGGTAGTTCGACCGAAGCACCATGCTCACCTCCGCCAGTCCTCCAGCTTCCAGGTTGACAGCTGCTACTGTGCCCACTCCGCCTCCTCCTATGAGTAACACATTGACTTTGGCTTTCTCCATGGCGATGAAGGCCTCGTGGGCCTGGATGTGATCTGATTATTCGAGCGGAGCGACAGACCAATAGGCACCTGGAGCAACTCGAGGAGCTTGCGACGAGAGTTGTATAAGGTGTCTATTGGTCTGGAGTGGCGCTTAAGAACAAATCAGATTAGTGCTAATGACGTATGCGTATAGTTGGTGGTGGCAGTAATAGTATACAGGCAGTTGCAGTATAGGGAGGCTAAATTTCAAAGATACGCCCGCAAAACTGACCGAGCCCTCTGATTGGTCTAAAATCGAATCCGAGTTACGTGCCCTCCAACCTTAGGCTATACTCTTATACGTCACTTCCTATAATAAAGGGAACACTACAATGCACTACTATCCCCGATAGCACAATGCTACACGACTAGTACAATGCGATACGACTAGTATAATGCGATACGACTAGCACAATACGATACGACTAGTACAATGCGATATAACTAGTACAATACGATACGACTAGCACTATACGACAATAGCACTATACTATACGACTAGCACTATACTATATCCCTATACCTGCCTCTTTCGCAAGTAACCTATAGCGTCCTTATAATCTATAGCGAACTTTAATAGTAAAAGGGTAATAAAGGAAGAGTAAGGACTAGTAATAAAGGATATAGAGAAATAAAGAACTTAGTTAAAAAAAAAGAAGAATACTAAAAGGCAAAAAACTGTAGATAGGCAATACCCGGAGTTACTCTTACGGATACGATATAGACCTCGAGCTTTTAACCCTTTAAGACAAGTTACGAATTAACTAAGTAAATATACCTACTAGACTTCGACCTTATACGAATCTTATAAAAGAAACGCTGCTATAGAAAACCTGTCCTAGAGAACTAATTTCTTTAGAGTTAGATAATAGGCAGTTACCTCTACTAGTTTATTAGGCTGCTAGCTGCCTTAGAAAAGACTATTAAATAGCCTAAATCCCTTAGGTTCCCTACGTAACTTAATAACTAGGCGCAAAGGATTACTGCAACTCCTTACCTAGTTATAGCTAGGCGACGCTTCGTCTTAGTCGATTATTATTAGTTAAAGGTCGTAAATTGCAGTATTATTATATACCCTTATTGCTGCTACCTAGGGTAATAGCTTAGTTAGAAGGGGAAGGCAGGTAGGTAAGGTTTCGACACTTTAGTTAAGGGTTCAATTCTGTATCTTAAAGCTATATTATTAATATTAAGTTAGTATCGACATTGATATTGCTACGTACTAAATTAGCACCTAAACTCGCCTACTCCGAAGCTAACTAAGTTAAGTCGATTAAGCGCATTTCTAGTAAAACTACGCTAGTAAAAGTGATTAATACGATAACGACGGATGCCTTAGGCACCTCGAAGCAAACTACTAGTAGGAGAACAGTACCGTAGCTTTTAGTAGATAAGACCTAGCTAATCTCTACGCTAAAGTAAAAGGAAGCATAGCTAATAAGGACCTGCGCTTAACAGACCCTTTGCTAAGCTATTATTAGATTAAAGACCTACTAATCGTATATAGATACTAAAGCGGTAGGTACGGGGGGTTTAGGAGGCGTAGCGACTATCCCCTCTACCCTAAGCGACTACGTTAGCAAAAGTAATAAGGGTACTAAAGTAGAGGGCAAGTTAATGCCGAGCCTTAGCGAGTGCTTAACTTGTCCGGAACGCTAACGTCGGATAAAAAGATAAGGATACTATAGTAGAGGGCAGGTTAAGTCGAGCCTTAGCGAGTGCTTAGCCTATCCGGAGCGATAACGTTAGCAAAGCAATGCGGGTACTAAGAGCGATATAGGTTTTAGCTAGGTATAGCAAGTCTAATCTATTACATGCTAGAAGCCGCATTTACCTTCTAGGCCTAATTCGGTATAGCTTAGCGTTCTATAAACAGAGAGCGCCTTCCGCCTTCTGCCTTCCTCTTTTACCTTCTAACTCCTACTTTCCGCGTTCCTCCTTACTACTTCTACCTACCCTCTTCCGCTTTCCTTCTAATAGCTAACTTTAGCTCGTAGCTTCTCCCCTAATCTAAATATAGCCGACGTTTAGCACTTCGGTTAGCAAGCCGCTACTAGCGTACTAGGCGGATAAGGCCCTCCTAGCGGTAGCGATCTACGTAAGAATCTTCCGCCTAACCGTACCGACGAGGAAGACATCTAGTACCCTGCCCTTAACGATAAAGAAGTCGAGGCTACTACTTAAAACAGTCGAGTCTGCGTCTCCTATTATAAGCGTAAGAAGGCTACTTAATTCTAGAGCCTTCGCGGCAATAAGACGAGCACGCGACCGATAGTATAGTACTTAAGATGTCGACTTGCTAATACCGTAATAAAGAAGTCTAAGAAGCACGCGCGTAATACTAACGATAAGGATACTATTGCTTCGACTCTAGTAAAGCGTAGCCGCCTAGCAACTCCGCGAGCTAGTACTAGCGCCGTATCTAACCCGATTACTATTGCGCCTTCCCCTACGCTAAGCTCTATACTCTCTATACTTCCGCCTTCCTTAGCCTCGACTACTAGCGATCTAATTAAGCGCAATCTACCGCCGCCCTAAGGATTAATAGGTCTACCGCTAGTTCCTACTTAGTTTTCTAGATTAGGACTAGACTTTCGGCCGCGCGGTTAATATAGCAGTAACGACCTAGCAACTATAGCTACTCGTATATAAGTTGCTTCTATCTCTTAGCAATACCGTTAAGAACGTCGCGCTAGTAAACATCTACCTCCTACCCCTACTATCGCTAAAGTCCTCGTAGGCTAGTAGCAATCCTTATAAACTGTTTAGCTAAGCTAACAAGTTTAGTAGCAGTCTTTACAAACCGTTTAGCTAAGCTAATAGACCGACTACGGCAGCGACCCCCCTATACCGAGCTCTGCCTTTAGTAATGTTAGCCTACCTACTAGAGATCTAAACAATCTACTAATTCGCAACGCTCGACGCTAGTTTAAATGTAGTATCTACGACTAGCCCCGCGCTATTACCCGCAAATACAACGTACCTAAGGTAGATCCGGGCATTAACGTATACTATTACTACGCTAAAGGACATAATAATAAAGCGGATTAGTATAAGTAGTGTATCCTTCGTCGTTATAAGACTAAGCGATACGAATTCTACTTACCCGATAGCTCTTAAGAACTCGAGAACTGCTGTATACCTTACCGTATAGTCCGCAACGACGAGAATAATCTACCGCCTTATCGCACGCCCCGACCTAGCTAACGCGACCGTGCCCGCGCCGATTACTATAAGTAAGCTCTTCGTACTTACTTCCTTACCGATAACCTAGTCGATCTACCTATTTAAGTTAGCACTAATCTTAATAGCTAGAAGGCTCTTGCCGATATCGACTACGGCTTAGTTAAAGATTTCTTTACTACTTTAGAAGAGGAGAAGATAGAGACTTGCTAGAATAAAGAGCTATAGAAGGGATATAAAGAGCGGTAGTTTAATATATAGTTAGATACTCGCGAAGACTCTGCTATATACCTTATCTATAAGAAGTGTCGAGTGTTAGGACTAAAGAGGTTATACGTGATTGGTATGTAACTAGACTCGAGTAAAGCTAGGGTCTTAATGCCTTAGGCAGGGCTTGGCGCTTGGCGTTAGGCTAACTAGCCTGCCTTCCTCCCTCTCCTCTTAGATCTCTATCGAATACTATACTGATTTACCACTACCCTATCTACCTGCTAATATAACCCTTCTTATATAGTATTCGATCTACCCTTTAAGGGTAGTAGCTAGATAGTTCTTATTTCAAGCTTTTAGCGGTATAGCTACGAATAAGACTAATCTAACTATATTGCGCCCGAAGAACAGGACCTATACGTACTATTCTATCGAAACAACCGTACTAATTATTAAGCAAGGCCTTCTATACGGCCTATTATACTAAGTTAAGCATACTAGACCGATATCTACTAACTCCGCTATATCCGTATCTTAGGGGCTAATAATACATTATTAGTATCGCCCCTTACAATAGCCGGTTTATTACGAAATAATAACCGTGCTGCTGCTAGCAGCGCTAGCAACGACAACGCTAGTAGTACAGTTCCCGCTAAAGTGCCTACTAAAGTACCTCCTACTAAAGAGCCTACCGGAGAGCCTATTAAAGAAGAACCTACAATTCTAGGTAATAATCTAGAATTACCTATTAACGACATTCTTAACAATATTGTTAATCGACGATATAGCTAGCTAGCCTTTAGCCCCTAGCTAGTAGCGAGACTTTAAGAAGCTACTTAAAACAGGCTTACTGCCCTACGTTAAGAACAATAGCTAAAGGACAACCTCCTCGAAATTCGCCGCCTTTAGGAGGCCCTAATAACTAATACTAAGCCGATAGCAGGGCCCTCCTTACTATCAGTCCTAGTCTAGAAGAAGGATGCTAAACTTAAGGACTGCACCGTATTTGATAGCTCTAGTCGCAAGTAATACAATAATTATATACGTAATTATAAGCTTAACTAGCGAAATGCACTAAGGGCTCTTCTAGACGACTATTCCTTAGTTGTTTACGCTATATAGTACATCAATAGTGACCTAAAGCGCACCTAGGACGACTATTTCGATTCCTTTAATAATCAGACTGCTATTTAGTAGAAAACCTATAAGACTATTATACTAGACACTCTTAGAAACCCGATACTAAGACAATAGTATGCTTAGGACTAATACCTTCGAGCCAAACAAAAGACTGACTAGTCGGCTCGTTCATTTAAGGCCTATTTAAAGACCCTCGAGGATAACCTTCCGGCTAAGACTAATTCTATATAGATCTCGGAAATACGCCTAAAACTAAGATAGGAATTAGTCCTTAAATTGGACCGCCGCCGTGTGTTTGAATAGGCTAATCTTATACGCATTTAATTCATAGTTGAAGTCGAGACTATAGAGCGTATAGTATAGCTCTAATAACGGTTAGAATCTAAGATACGCCTAGCCACCTATCGTAGCCGCGGAGGAAATCAAGGTTCGTATTAGAACAACACT